TCAATATACTCACATTTGGGGTTTTGAGCCAGTTCGGCCTGCAGTCTTCCGTAGTAGGCCCTCTGGCGGGTGGCGCCAAGGCGCCGATGTCAGCCGCTGGAATGGCGGCCCCGCTTACCCCAGGTTGACGTCATGGTGGTTGGGGAAAGGACGAAGGACGGAGGTGGGGGGGGGGGGGGGGGGGGACAGTCAGGAAGGAAGCTTCGAGGCTACCTCTTCAAGTGCCTCCATCACTACCTACCTACCTGAGGTACCTCAACTTACGGTACCTAGGCGGGCACCTACGGAAGTACAGTGCTCCCAAGACGGCAGTGCCATCATCTGGATGATTGAGCATATTGGGCAATGGAATCTGCAGGTGCCCAAGCCACCAGTGTCGGTTCTACTCCGGCCACCAATGCGCCTCCGTCTTTGTAGTGCGGGGGCAGCGTCGTGTCGTTCGCCGCTCTCCCAGTTCAATGGCTGGCGGATCTGGTGCAACTGCTACCACGTGCCCGGCCGTTTGCTTCATCGGTCACGGTTATTTGGGAGGCACCGCCTGGCACCAGATAGTCGGTGACTGGAATTGGGACTCGGGGGGTTGATGTCTTGACTGGGGAAACCTGAATCGATTGTTCGCACATCGGCTCCCCATGAAAAAGGCCGCCTGCTCATAATGACATGTCGAATGGGTTCAATGGGTCCGTCCCGAACCGAACAACTGAGCACCCACCCCCCGGACAAGGCTCGTCCACCGGCAGAACCGGTCGACGCGCATCGGCTTCCCCGCCACGTCCCTCCCCTGCCCTGTCCTTCTCGGACCCAGCAGGTTTTCCAGGTTGGCACCTCTGCAGTTCTCCCCGTCGACGATGATGATGACCTCGTGGCTCCTGGTTGGCGCAAGCTCATGCGACCTAGCACACGCACCGTTCCTGCCCCTAGCCGAACACCAAGGCACTTGCGACCCAATGCAACCGAACCCAGGATGGACCACTGACGGACCAGGCGGACAAAAGCTGACGGCGCCAAGTGGCCCGGCGATCTTCTCCCCCTCCGACGAGGGGAGCTCGCCAGAGCTAGCTCTTTGGCATCTTTTTCTTCTCTCTGCTTGCGCCTGCCGCTTGTGCTGCTGCTGTCGATGCTACCTACTTAACATGCATCGGCTGCTCAAGCAGTGACGTCCACCTCCCTCTTCAGCCCTTTCCCAGTCCCCCCTCCTCTCTGCCAGTCCCCCCTCCAGCTCCTCTTCTGCCTTTTCCTATACCGTGCGGACGCAATCTGTGCCGCAAATTTGGGCATCGTGCTCGTCGACCATGACGCTTCTCTCCAAGTCGGTGGTGGCGTTGGCCGCCGCGGCCCCTCTGGCCAGAGCCCAGCTCTTCCGGAATGGCTCTGTCATTGCCCCCTGCGACTCGGCCATCTACTGCCACGGCGAAATTTTGAGCCAGATCCAGCTCGCTCGCCCCTTCGAAGACTCCAAGACGTTTGTTGACATGTGAGCCTCCTCCCCGTTTCGCCCGAGCTGGAGGGCGGTGGACTGACCGTCGCAGGCCCGCTAAGAGGTCCCTGGAGCAGATCCAGGAGGCATTCGACGAACTGGAGAAACCGTTGACCAACAACACGGCATTGAACGACTTCCTCGCGGCCAACTTTGCCCTGGCTGGCGGCGAGTTGTCTGAGGTGGATGACCTCGAGACGGACGCCCAGTTCCTCGACAACATCAACGACACTGTCATCCGAGAATTCACTGAGAAGGTCATCGAGATCTGGCCCGATCTGACCCGCTCCTATACTGGCGCCGGTAGCAATTGCACCGACTGCCCCAACAGCTTTATCCCTATCAATCGTACTTTCGTCGTTGCCGGAGGCCGCTTCCGTGAGCCCTACTACTGGGACTCGTTCTGGATTCTCGAGGGTCTGTTGCGTACGGGCGGCAGCTTCATTGAAGTCTCCCGCAACCAGATCGAAAACTTTCTCGACCTCGTTGACCAGTATGGCTTTGTCATGAACGGCGCCAGAAGGTACTACCTCAACCGCTCACAGCCGCCTCTGCTCTCGCAGATGGTACGTCTCTACGTCGATCACACCAACGACACCGACATTCTTGACCGGGCACTGCCGCTGCTCATCAAGGAACATGAGTGGTGGACTGTCAACCGCACTGTTGAGGTGTCCAAGGACGATCGGACTTATCAGCTCAACTTGTATGTCCGCCAACCTTCTTCATGTTCAATGGCCGAATTCGCTGACATGAGTGACCTAGGTACAACGTGTCAAACACGCAACCCCGTCCCGAGTCCTACTACGAAGACTACACCACCGCATCCAACAGCTCCTACTACGCCGAGTCCGGCATCATCTACCCCGAGACCAGGGAGCTGAACGACACTGAAAAGGCCTTTCTCTATGCCAACCTCGCCTCGGGTGCTGAGAGCGGCTGGGACTATACCTCGCGCTGGTTGTCCAAGCCCAACGACGCTGTTCGCCATGTTTATTTCCCGCTGAGGTCGCTTAACATTGTGAACATTGTTCCCGTCGAGCTCAACTCGATTCTCTATTGGAACGAGGTCACCATTGCTGGCTACCTCAACCAGACCGGCAATGAAACACAGGCTGCAGAGTGGACCGAGCTGGCTGCCAACCGTAGTGAGGCTATGTACAACCTCATGTGGAATGACACGCTGTCTGGTTACTTCGACTACAACCTCACGTCTGGAGCCCAGGATACGTTTGTCCCTGCGGATGACGACACGACCGATCTTGAAGCCACTGGCGCCCCGGAAGGCCAGCAAGTCTATTTCTCCGTGGCACAGTTCTACCCCTTCTGGACCGGCGCCGCGCCTGCCCACATCAAGAACAACCCGCTCGCTGTCAAGACGGCGTTTGAGCGGGTCGCCACGTACCTCGATACCAAGGACGGCGGCATTCCGGCGACGAACCTGCGAACTGGGGAGCAATGGGACCAGCCTAGTGTGTGGCCTCCTCTGATGCACATCCTTATGGAGGGGCTTCGCAACACGCCGGCCACCTTTGGCGAGTCGGATCCCCACTACATGGAGGTGCAGGACCTGGCCCTGCGTTTGGGCCAGCGCTATCTCGACTCGGCCTTCTGCACGTGGTACGCCACGGGAGGCTCGACAAGTGACACGCCTCAGCTTGAGGGATTCGATGAGCGCGAGGTTGGCATCATGTTCGAGAAGTACTCGGACAACTCGACCAACCAGGCCGGTGGCGGTGGCGAGTACGAGGTTGTCGAGGGTTTTGGCTGGACTAACGGTGTGCTGCTGTGGGTCGTCGACACCTTTGGCAACAACCTCACTCGCCCTGACTGCGGTGACATTGAGGCCGCCAATGTTCAGCCGTCGAAGCGCAGCGCCGTTGAACTCCACCGTCGCGATGCTGCCTGGACCAAGAAGTTTGGTAGTCGTAGTGCGAAGGGCAAGGCGAAGCGATTTTCCAAGCTGGGAAGGTATTAATGGTGGACTGTTGCGGGTTGTTAGTAGGAGGTTTGTGTGTAGTTAGGAGGACGAATGTTTTCTTGGAAAAATCAATAATGCCATGATGAAGATTCATACCCCAAAATAATTCGTCCTGGCAGTGGTATGTTTGGTTCTTTTTGTAGGACTGTAGCTCCTGCAGGAAAGCTTGAGGCCGGCCCCTTGGTTGCCAGGGCCTCAGTTAGGGCCCCAGTCAGGGAGCGCCCCCTTTACCCTCTTTCCGAGTACTCGAGCCAAGATAGTCGGTGTCGACGGTCGGCCGCAAACTCGACTTGTTCCTCGAGCTTCATCTTCATGATCCCGTCATGCGGTACCGGGAAGCTTCGCAGCGCTTGATGGGCATCGAACCATCATTTCGTTGAGCGTAGGCTCAAGTCGACCCTCGTGTAAGGCAAGGTAGGTCTGTAGGTCAGAGCACCAAGCCCCACTAATCCCGACCTGGACGTGGCGCTGCCTGGCGCACATCCCAGACCCCCCGATTGAAGATCTTCAATCCCCGAGACACTACCTGCAAATTGTCCGCCACCAAGCACATTGCGCTCGCGATCACTCCAACGACCCAAAGACCTACCCACGCACCAAACAGAAACACGCCTCGCCTGATTGACCAAGCGACGAACACATCACAATGCATCCCCATTTGCACACAAAAGACAACATTGGTAAGCTTCCCACGGCAGCCGGCCAACCCGTCCGTCCCCCGTGTCCCTCGTCCCACCGCTGACCGATCCGGCCCACCACCAGAGTGCGAGGACGTCATGAACGCCCTCGAAGAGTGCCACGCGCGCGGCTTCCTCTACAAGTCCCTCGGCAACTGCAACACGGCCAAGCAGCACGTCAGCGACTGCCTCAAGGTGGCGCGCATGAAGCGCCTCGACGCCAACCGCGCGGCGGGCAAGGCGAAGCGGGACGAGAAGGCGCGCAAGATTGCCGAGATCAACAAGGAGCTGGGCCTCGACTAGAGGGTAGAGAGGCGAGTCTGTGTCTGTCCTTGCCCAGATGATGAGAGGGGGCTGGGACTACGTTGGGGGAACCTCGATTGCCGTCAACACGGAACGAACGGGAGGGGAGGTGGTGGTACGATTATTGTAACAGTATCGCGGGCCGGCATGCGCATCCTGTACACCACGGGGTTTGGGAAACATGACAACCCCCCCAAAAAAGCATGGGGGGGACAATGGGGGGCGTTCATTTGGTTTGTAGGCATGTGTGCACGGTTTTAATCACATGAATCTCGACTCGTTGCTATCTCGTAACGAAACACGAAAACCCCAGATCTCTGTCGTCCTGGACACACAGACCGTCACTCGTTCGAGACGGTTCAGACGCCGCGGCGGAAGGCGTCGCCAAACGTGAAGAGGCCGAACAGGGAGAGCACACTGAGGAGGATGGGCACCGGCTTGCGCAGACGGATGGCGCGGGGGATGGCGGAGCCGCCGAGGACAGCGGAGGCGAGAAGGCTGAGCTCGACGCCGTAGGGCTCGCGGCCCTGGATGCGGTACCCGCCGAGTCCGTCTGATCATGGTCAGTTTGGTGTGCTTCAAGAAGCCGCAGTAGCAGCTCTTTTGGAACGAAGACGAGGCAGGCGGATAGCGCGGAGGGAGGAGGGAGGAGGGAGGAGGGAGGAGGGACACTGACACAGCAGACCAACGGTAACACCGGCGACAATCGAGGGCACGGAACGGGTCTTGACGTAGCCCATGATGCCGCCGCCCGCCGTGAGGGCGCCCAGGACGAAGGAGGGGGTTGAGAGTTCTCGTGTAGCGGCCTGGCTGTGTCAGTAGGGTACCCTCGTCATACGTGTTCGATGGCGGGGCAGAGCAAACCATTGTGAACAGCGGTTGGATACTCGATGGCGTGGTCAGCGGAGGAGGAAAAGGGAGAGTGTGAAGGATTAACCAAGTAGTGTTATGGGTGGGATTCAAGCTTTGGAATGAGAGGGGGGGGGGGTTAAGTTTTGAAGTTCCGCTGGTGCTCGGGACTTGGTGAAGCCCGGCTGCTTCTGGCGACAGTTGCTGCTGCTGCTGCTGCCACTACTGCTACTGCTTGGAGCGTGTCCCTCGACCAATAGAGCTGGACTACATGATGTAATGCTGACCTGACTAAGGCGTGCACGTTGACAGTACCCCGGATTCCACCAACACCCTGTCCCTCGTGTGGCTGAACCACTGTGGCGCCCAGCGGGACAGGTGGCTCGAATGCTGTCGTGTCCGCTACTGCTATGGGGGTGTGAGCTAGATGGTACTGTACGGCCAGCAACCTCCACCCACCACCTGTCGCCAACAGCACCCCCCAAAGCTCCTCGACGCCAGTTCGCCGGCATTCACGACTCCCACCTTTTCTCCCCAGGACGCAAACCCGCCTCGACCGATCACATCGACACCATGGCGCCCAAGAAAGCCGCTCAGGTGCCCCCCGCCGCCGCCGTCGCCCCCGCAGGCCCGACCGTCGCCGCCATCCCCGGCACCATGACCTCCCAGCCCAAGCTTGCCTCCTCCAAGGCCGCCAGCGCCAGCGGCAACGCCGACTGGACCCAGGCCGTCAACCAGCTTCTCGACCACTACCAGAAGAAGACGCCGCAGCGCACCAAGCTGATTGACGTCTTCCTCGCCTTCCTCGTCGCGCTCGGCGGCGTGCAGTTTGTCTACTGCGTGCTCGGCGGCGGATTCGTACGTGCTTTGTTCTCCGAGACAGGGGAAGGTGCGCTCCAAAAAACGAACATGTGGCTGACTTTTTTTTCTCTTCTTTTCTCTCTGTGCAGCCTTTCAATGCCTTCCTTTCCGGTTTCTGTGCTACCGTTGGACAATTCGTCCTCACTGGTGAGTCGTTACGTTCGGGCAACGATGGCGGGCGACGTACTCATCCTGTCGGCAGTTTCCCTGCGCATGCAGACGACCGAGGCCAACAAGGCCGACTTTCCTTCCGTGTCCCCAGAGAGGTAGGAATTCTCATGCCAGATGGTGCGGCCATTGACTGACCTGGATCCAGATCCTTTGCCGACTTTGTTATTGGCAGTTTGATCCTACACTTCTTCGTCTACAACCTGATTAACTAGACGAGACGCAACCCGCATGCGCGGCAGAGATCGTTGCGGTTCGGATACAAAATACATGCTCAATGGAGGGCACGGGTCGATGAAGAGATCTGAACACGTGCCTGCGGGCATGAGGCCCGGCAGTCAGTCGACATGCCATTGCTTCCCCGGATGGAGAGGAGAAGCCAGGTGGCAGGCGTAGCAGATGGACACGGGAGCGCCATACTGTATGATACTGAAGCCAACAACAAAAGTAGCGTCGACTAGAGCAGAGAACGCATAGAGATCCTCAATGGGAATCATGAGACATGGCTTTGATTGATTCTATAAAAATTCGCTAGCTCCATCCCCCCTCACTCCATGGGCGGCTCTGTAGAAGCCGCTCGTGGGGGCGGCGGTGGTGCGCCTGCTTTGGGTGGTGGCGCCACGGTGCCGGAGCTCTTTGGCGCGTGGTCTAGCGCCCGACTCTTCTCCTCACCCTCCTTGAAGTAGTCGTCCATCAGCGCGTTCGGGCTGTGGCCGTGCCTCTCCTTCTTCTTGGACCGCGTGGGCACGCCGACGGGCGGCGCCGCGCTGACGAGCTGCGCTGGCACCAGCAGATCCTCCGACGGCGTTTCCGTGCGGGAGACGAACCCCTCGGACCCGTCTGCCGGCGGGCCACCGTGTCCCGCCTGCGCTGCTGCTGCTGCTGCCGCCGCGCCCCCGTACGCCGCCGACGGGTCCTTCTCCATGTCGAACAGCATCTCGCCCGGCGCCGAGACGGGCTCGTTCAGCGGCGCTGGCAGGCGGTGCAGGGCGCCGTACCCGAGCACGCAGCCCAGGGCGCCCTCGCCGCCCCACTCGCGGCTCGGCTGGATCGTGACCTCGCGCGTGACATTGTACTCGTTGTTGTAGACGTACAGCCGCAGCGGCCGGCCGATGAAGTCGTCGACGAGCTCGCTGAGGCCGCTCTCGCCGTGCAGCGCCCCCTCGGGGCTCGCGAGGATGTAGTCGCTGTAGGGCAGGAGGCCGGCCAGGTCGGCGGGCGAGTTGGCGGCGACGTCGAGGACGTGCCAGATGTTGGCGACGACGGCGAGCGCCGTCCACTGCAGGCTGAGGCCGAGGGAAGCCGAGTCGGCGGGGACGGGGATGTGGAGCTCGCGCGTGCGCTGGCCCTTGGCGCTCCAGAGCGCGAGCGACACGGAGCCGCCGGCGCAGTTGCGGACTTCTTGTGCAAAGAGGGCGGCGTTGGGGCTATCCTGTGCGGGCCGGGGGGGGTCAGCGATGAGTGGACAAGGGAGAGTGAGGTGAGCAAGAGAAGGGGTGGACGAACGAGGGGCCTGCCGTTGATGCCAATGATGAAATCGAACCACGGCTCGACGGAGAGCTCTAGATTTGTGTTGCGCAGGACCTGGAAGCCAAAGGAACCCCCGCGACTTTGTTGCGTGGGCTGCTCTCCGTCCAAGCGGGACATGAAGCGGTTGAGTGCGCTGAACATGGTGCCAAGTGGTGGCGGTCCAAGGGCTGACTAGTTGCGTTCTTGTGGCTGGGGGAAACTGTAAGGGTGTATGTTCGTTTTCATGCGTCGCTGAATCGGCCTGGCTGTCGTCGTCGAGGGTAAGGTAGGCGTGGTCAAGCGGCGCTGATGGATATGGCAGGTTGGCGTGGGGAAAGGGTCCCTGAGCTTCGACGATCGAGCTTCGCGCAAGCTGTCATTCACGCATCGCAGCCTTGCAGCTGGTCCGAGCTCCAGGCGTTGACGCTAACGATTTCGATGTGGGGCGTCTTTTCCATCCTTCAGCCTTCCATCTTGTGAACTCATCTGACAACCTTCTTTTTACCACGCTCGATCTTGCCATAGAGACGTGCTCATCAGTCTGTCAACCGACATGTGACGAAGACGTACAGATCGGCTCAACAGTGACGAGGCAACATGACCAGGATGGAACCCGCACCCCGGATGCCCCTGACTGATGAATGCCATCACTATGAGACCAAGGCAGAAGTGCCATGGGACCTCCAAAAGTACGTGACGCTCGTGCCGTCTTATTATAAGATTCCTCGAGAGACTGACTTTCAGCAGATACTTTTCCCAGCGCTATTCCATATTCCAGTATTACGATGATGGCGTCTATCTCACCGACGACGCCTGGTTCGGCGTGACTCCCGAGCCAGTTGCCACGTCAGTTCACCACTCCAAGTGTTTCTTCTCACCCTCGACAGGTCACTGATGGTCTCCCAGCCAAGTCGCCCAAGACATGTCAGCGTCCCCGGCCACCAGAAGGGTCTTGATCGATCTCTTCGCCGGCGCCGGCGGCAACACCATCGCCTTTGCCCTGTCCTCGCGCTGGGACAAGATCATCGCCATCGAGCGGCACGCCCCCACCCTCGCCTGCGCCCAGTCCAACGCCGCGCTGTACGAGGCCGACGACCGCATCACCTGGATCCACGGCGACTGCTTCGACTACCTCCGCCGTCTGCGCACAGATCCGGCCTCCCTTCACGAGCATCTCCAGGTCAGCGCCGCCGAGACGGTCATCTTCGCGTCCCCGCCCTGGGGCGGCCCCGGCTACAGCACCGCCGAGGTCTTTGACCTGCGCTTCATGGAGCCGTATAACCTACAGCACCTCCACGATGCCTGCGTTCCCATGGACCATGCGCTTTACCTGCCGCGCACGAGCGACCTGCGCCAGATTGCCAAGCTCGCCCCCGGAGACGACAAGATCGATGTTGTGCAATACTGTATGAAGGGGGCGAGCAAAGCCCTCGTAGCATACATTCCGGGCACCGCTAGTAAGCCTGGCAAAGAGAGGCCGGTAGGCGCATAATAATAAGAAGCAAAACAAAACAAAAATTTGAAAACTGTGCTATTTTGGGGGGCCCTGGCCGTCCCGTCGCTATGAAAACGCTCCGTCCTTCTCTAAGTCTACAATGCCCGTACAATGGTGCGTTCATCAAACACGTCCTTGAGCAGTCCCTCGATGCAAAACTCCAAGTCTAGCGGAGCCATCGCATATGTAGATTCAAACGCAAATATGCTGAGCTGGCCGAAAAAGGGTCGCAAAATCTTGGCCACGAGCTCGTCTTTCCGGTCGATCGTCACCTCGTCCTTGATGCCGCCCGCGCCAAGAAGAGGCCGTCTGTGCGAGCTGCTGGCGGCTAGATGCGCCGCCGACTCGTTGTGGAAAGCCGAGTTGGCGGCGACCTGGCCCAACTCTTCTGAGAGCTCGTCGACCAAGGCGACAGGCTGGTAGTTGGACGCTCGGTAGACGGCGTCAATCGTGTCCGTGATAAACAACCACTCGTGCAGCTGGAAGTCGTCTGGCGCAACGCAAATGAGGAGGTCGAGCAGTTTACACGCCTGGAGAATGGATATGTTGTTGTACGTTTCCGATGCTGAGCTGTGGTCGGGTGCTACGACGGACGAAATGGCAGAGTGTAGCTCCGCGTTGATGATCGGCCACATCATGGCGAGATGAATGGCGCTCGTCTTCAGGACCAAGGCTCGCACAACCATGAAGATATCTGACCTAGTGCTAGAGGACGGAGACGATGTCGAAGTGGCACCCAGCAGCTCTACCACTTTCTCCAAGATTGTAGGGAGATCTGACACAAAGGTGTCTTCGCTAGCCGCAAGCACGAGAGTAGCTACCCTGCGCAGATTGAGCTGTGTCTTCCTGTCGGCCTCGAGCCTGGCAGATGTCGCACCGACGCCGAATACGATACCTGCAGTCGTAGGGGGGCTGATGCGAGCCAAGATGTCAGGCATGCGGTCCTTGTCACTAAGAGTCCATTGACGCAGCAGGGGCAACCATTCACTCCGCACTAGAGGCAGACCGGTACCGAAGAATCTGCCGTCATTGAAAGCATCGCCAACATCCTTCTTCCACGTCTTCTGGTTGTTGGGTAGCCTGGCCAGTTCTTGCAGCAGCTCGAGAGTGCTGTGGGTGACCGTTTCGGGGAAACCCTTTGCTCGAAAAGCCGGGCCAATGACGTTGGCGGCGATCGTGCCCGCTGCTGAGAGAACACGGTCATTTTCGACCAAGACCTTGGGCAGGGTCGGGACGATCGAGGCTAGTATAGCGACCACATCCTCGGCTCTATCAAGACTGTTCATGGTTGTTCGCCGACTGATGTCTCGGGACTTGTCGCCCTTGTCCGAGGCTGTTTCGGCAAATGACATGGGTTTTGTAGTGAAGATGGCCGTCAATAGACGGAGGAACAGGTCCTGCGGTGTGATTAGCAACTCAAAGTCAATTGAGGTGTCAACAGACTTACGCCAAGCTCACGACGCATCTTCCGCTGCTCGCCAAAGTTGGTATTGTCGACCTTTTCACCGAGTATAGCTGCGAATTCAAGTAGGCTGGGAAGGGTCTGCCGATGCGGGAAAGGATTGGCAAGTAAGTCTCTGAGGAAAGCCATGCAGTCCTGCCAGATCTCATCCATTGCGTCGTCCTCAAGCGAGCGGGCATATTCCACGAGAAAGGTGACCAGATCGGTATCTTGCAGAGAAATAGTGAGTGTTGACCTCCTGGCTGGATCGAGAGCCTGAGGATTAGTCCTGCTGTAGATTGCATTGAAGATCGCCGGTATGGTATGCCGAGGTCGAGAACCGTCGAGGGCCGGCAGAAGCTTGAAAACCTCGGACTGCTGTGCTACTGCAGATACTTCGATGGAGGCGCGCCAGATGCCAATGGCTGTTTCCAGGCACTCTAGCGTCTCTGCCGCAAAGAGGTGCTCCAAGAGACGTCGTGCCCTGTTCCGCATCCGCAGAGACGTATAGTTGAAAGACGAGACGGATGTGATGTCTTGCGCCCTGACATCTGCTCCTTGGCCCCAAGACCAGATGGTGAAACAAATGCGCACCGCATCTTGGAAAGCTAGGTGCACAGTGAGCCGGTCGTTGGCTGTTACGCTGCGCGAATGTGATCCGTCTGATGCGAAGACGCCAGAGACCATGTTTCCGAAGAACCCTTGTTGTTGGTCCGGGCCCTTGACCACTTGCGTCCTGGCCTCTTCAGCCAGGAGGCGCTCGTGTCCGCGGGCTAGGACCTGCTCGAGTGCGTTCAGCAGTGATATGAGGGTTGATTCGGGCGCATTCCACTCATCAGAGGCCACGCTGTGCGCATCTCTGAATGTGGTCTGCAAGTTATCAAATGTAGCCGAGACTTGCTTACACAGCGTCTCGACCAGGGGAATAAGAACTTGGAAGATTGTATCCGAGTAAAGTGGGAGACACTCCGTGAGGAAGCTGACCCAGCTGTCGAGCACGCTGCGACTGCTCGTTGCACTCAAGCCGGATTGTAGACACTTTAGAAGTGAGGGCGGAGGAGACAGGATGCGTGGTCCTTCTTCATGTTGCATGGAAGATCGAGGGCCCCTGTTCGGTTCGACGCTCAGTTTGCCCTTTTCTGACATCGGCGATGTGGGCAGTTCAGGTGAAACGTGATGTCTTATCTTCAGCGTCGCAAAAACGACATCCAAAAGAAGCACCTGAACGTACGGGTCAGGCCCCGTAAGAGACTGGGACAACCGCTCGATGAGGGGCTCCTCCAGATGTAGGCTTGACAGAGACTCCGCGTATGGATTGAGGAGGATCTGGTGTAACAAAGTCAAGGAATATCGATACAGCTGTGTTGTTCGAACCTTGCTCTGCTCCCCTCCAGGCAAACTTGCTCCGGCGATGCAACGCATGCAGACCTGCAGAAAGAACTCCTGCAATGACACGTCTCCCTCGCGGCCGACTACTCCAGGTCAGCATTTGAAGTGGTTGGGTGAGCTGGGTGAGAAAACTTACCGATGCGCGCGATTTCTGGTCGACTGGCATTGGGATTGAGAGTCGATGAAACCAAAATCGACCAGATGGCATCCGGGGCCCAACGAAAAACATTTGACAGTGTCCGAAGGTAGTATAGACATGTATCGAGGTCGTCACCATCAGTGAAGGCAGCTGAATTGTCCGTCCCCACATTGCCACTCGCACTGCGACGTGCTCCGAGGAAGCTCATGGCAGAGAATTTGGCAACAAAAACGAGAAAGAGCTTGTCGATGCCTACTAGGCTATTTAACCAAGACTTGACAGTCATGAAGAGCTGCGTGCGCTCATCGAGCAAGGCGTCAAGCATCAGGAGCAGAGGTCTCGTCAGCATCACATCGTAATGGTCAGCGCCACTGAGTCGAGGAAGTGGCAGCCTTTCTAGGGTGGGTGTCCTCGAACCCCTTCGGTCTGACTGGGAGTCATTGAGGGTATGAGACCACAAAACAGAGAATCTGCGGCCAGGGTCGGCTCGACGTGCCGCAAACGCCCCTTGCGTGTCTTTTTCTGTAATCAGTTTCGATAGAGTGGCCTCGATATCGCGGCTTTGAGGCGAAAGCACTGACTGGAGTTGCCACAGGAGTCGGACCGTTTCGACGTGATATTTGGGCTCCGAGACTGCGAGATAAGTCCACGCGTGCCGAACAATTGGTGCCACGAGATCAGCTAGGTCTTCCAAGGATGTCCTTTTGGCAAAATACAAGTGGCTCGACAGATGTACCACGGAATTGAAGGAGGAGAAGGGGAGGCCAGTGTCTTGGGCAAGCCGTGCGTGTAGGCATGACAAGATCTGAGCTGTGTCAAGCTCGTAGCGAACCGAGGTCTTCACAAGCAACGCAGTGAGAAGCCTTCCCTTGGTTCCTAGCTCCAGGCTAGTGGTAGACAACCCTTCGCAAATAAGCCTGCCCGATTTTCGAACAAGCAGTTCGCCTACTTCCACTGGAGTGAAAGGAGCGTTAGCGGCATCCAGACTTCCCTGGTCGTTGACGTAGAAGGCCTTGATGCGCTTCAAGAGCTCGATGACAGGCAATGAAACCAACACAGCGGCTTCCATTGTCCTTGCTGGTTTGTCCTGCGTCGGAAAAGCCCTGTCGGGAATAAGATCGAAAAGTGACAGGGCGATTTCTAGGATCCTCTCGGTGACCGCTTCGAGTCGCAGCGTCGCCTGATCTGGATTGTTCTGTCTGTCTTGAGCATCCTCCAACATGCAGAGTATGCTGAGGGCGGTAAGAGGTGCGTGTATGGTTATCATTTCCTCCTCCCTAATGTTGAAATTTGCGAGTATGAAGGTGACGAGGTCCAGCTTATCCAGTCGCTGAGCTGTGGAGAGACTACTGGGACCAATTGCTTGCGCCAGCAGGCTAACCATCTCACCATAGATGAGGCCACTTTCGACGCCGTCAAAGAAGACACTGGCACTCTTGAAAACCTCATTGAAGTCATTCTTGTTGGAGGACTGACTCTTGTACTGGCGGACACTATCGACGATGGGCAAGAAGACTTCAGGCACGACAAGCCCTCCGATCTCCCAGCGGTCCATCAGCGAAAGGCATATCCTGTAGGGCCGAGCTCTCTCCGTTGGACTTGCGTCTGAGGATGCCTGGATCATAGCCAGTAATGCCTGAGTCAAGGAATGGAGCCCATGATCTTCAAAGTAGCTCGTTTTGGAAGTGAGGTAGGATTGTGGGTGCTCGACTGACAGCGGAGATTCGACGGTGCTTTCGTTGTCGGCTGCCGGGGGATCGGGGCCCAGGAACCATGCCCAAAGTCTCCTGTTCAAACTCATGTCTCTCCTGATGACGACGCCAGAAGCAGCCCGCAGGAGAAGCTCTAGGTCGGCAGGCTTGACCCTGGTTTGCAGTACCTTGGAGTGCAGTGGCAGGTGGGTGACCAGGAGGTCTAGGAATCCTCTTTGGATCAGGAGCTGCTCGTCAGCCAAGCCTGCGGCGAAGCACCGAAGGAGTAGACCCGGCTCCGGTGATGTAACAATACGTCCGAGCTGAATAAACAAGTCTGCTTGGTCCCCATTGTTGGTCCCGTCGTCCTTGGGAGGTGCCGAAGATATAGGTTCTCCTAGCTTGGGCAATGTTCTCACGAGATATGCCAATGCACCGCCTCTTCGGCTATGACTGGTGATGGATGCTAAGAAAAAGCACTGCCAGAAGAAATCGTCGCCAGTCGAATGCACGTCGGTCAGTTCTTCACTCCCTGGGGATCGTATGGCCACTTTAAAGTTTTCCATAAGCTTCATGGTACGGTCAAAGTCCTCACTGGTCTCCTCCTCCAGACCCGGCAATAGTGCCAGCACGATTGACTTCATTGCTGGTCGCAGAGACCGAGGATCCAGCCGCAGAAAATGGGTTTCGAGGATATCAAGGTATGGGGCCCGGACGGAAAGGGATGCAAATGACAGGGTCGATGCCAGTCCGGGAAGGTATAATGGGAGATCCCGAGCGAGACCATCTTGGCCTATAGTGGTAAAGACGTAGTTGTACACCTCGAGGGCTTTTTGGTGGACACCGGAAGGCAAAGATGGATTGAGACACTGGGCTAGTCTCTTCGCGATAGTGGCCTTGGAGGGTACGGTTGTGATGGAGTTGTGTCGGGCTTGCAATGCCTGTTGGTGCTCGGATTAGCAACATGTTCTTTGCAAAAGGCTGCCGGCTCTACGTACCCGCAGAAGTCTGTTGAGGAAGGAGATGTAGTCTGCCCATTCTTGAAGTGCGGTTTCGAACAAGGTTAGAGCTCTCTCAACTCCAGAGGCGTACTTGCGGTAAGCTTTGTCGTTGGATGGCGCGTCCTCTGTCGCTACCAGTCAGCGCAAGTCATAGCTTGGGCATGGCGCATCATGTGAGGTCCTACCAGAGCCTAGTTGATTTCGCCATTGTCGGGTCGGTAGAGGCGAGTCTCTACCCGAGCTCTCTGGCGATAGGGAGCGACGGCTCGAAGCTGGCTCATTGGCCATAGTTGCGGTGGTTGGAGATGGGATCGTCGGTGGTGTTGTAGTTGTGGGACATGAGCATGTGCCGGCTCGAGGCTGCAGGCCGCAATGACATCGCTAACTAAAGCCTGGTGGTGCTTCAAGGGCGTGTTGGCGTGGCCAGGAGAGCGTTCTGCGAAGAAGCCAAAGTTCGTCGCAGGTTGTTGCACATCACTCACAAAGGGGAGAGGCTACATGGCATTTCGAGTTGCGACCCGTGGAATGACCACGCTTCCCACCTCAGCTCTAGGTACCTCCTTGGTGGGGTGTCTGGGACCTCAAACTGGAGCCTAGCGCCCTGTGCTTGGCTGGCTCCAGGGATGTCAGGCGCCGGTAGCTCTAGAGCACGCCCCCGTAGTGCGGTACCTTGCTTTAGGGAGACCTCTGGTGGGGGTTGAGTGCCTGGGCAGCAACGTCACCACCGTTGGATGGGGTGACGAAACGGGTCCTAAGTCAATATACTCCGGGCGGCACCCAACGTCAATCGTCAAAAGACAGCATCATCTACCACACCTCGTGATCGCCACGCCTCGACTCGGTCGGGACTCTTGCCCCCTTCCCCGAGCCCAGCAGAAGCAGTATGGAAGTTCGAGTCGTGGAAGAACGGATAGAGGCGCGCGGCATCTCCAGAATCACGGCCCCGAGCCACCCAACCATCGAGTCGAACCAAGACGGTGTCATGACCCGCGATCGATCCCATCATCAGCAGAACCGGACCCATGGGTGAGGACCCCAAAACACAGTCTGGCGATAGCCAGGAGCAGCGCCCACCACTTCCGCCGCGGCCCGCCGCCTTCACGAGCGCCTCGATCGACTCGAAGCTCGCTACAACAGCAATCACGCCGGTCGATATCCAGACACTGTCGTTTCCCGATGGCACTCGTGGCACGTTTCCAACGCCCGGCGCACAAAATGCCTCGACGCCGCCTGGCTCGTCCATAAGTGGCTCAGCTACACCGCGGCATGATTTGGGCGAGATGGAAGATTCCATGAGCGTCATGAGCCTTGCGCCGACGATGCGGCCTGCTGGCGATATTGCAAGCCTGCTCACGGGCGACTTCAACAGGCGAAGTCCAGCATGGAACCTGCTGCGCTCGCAGTCTCCCGCTGTGCTTCCATTCGAGACTTTGGATCTGGACACTGCGACACACAGGCTTGCTGCTTTCGAGCACGAGTTTGATCCGCTTCCCGACGACTCGAGCCCAGATGTAAAGGACGAAGATCGCCTTGAGCTCTGGAAGTCCAAGCTGAAGCAGTTCATGATTCTGTCATCGGCCGGAAAACCAATCTGGAGTCGCCATGGCGACCTGGGTCTCATCAACTCCTACATGGGCATCATCCAAACCATTATTTCTTTCTATCAGGGGGCTAATAACCCCCTGACGGGCTTCACCGCAGGCGACACGAGGTTCGTCATTGCGACGGAGGGCCCCCTCTATTTCGTCGCCACAAGCAGGCTCGGTGAAAGTGACTCCCAATTGAGGGGCCAACTGGAGGCTCTGTACATGCAAATCTTGTCCACCTTGACTCTACCGACCCTGCGGAACATCTTCGTGAACCGGCCATCCACCGACCTGCGCAAACCTCTGCAGGGCACCGAATCGCTCCTCTCATCCCTCGCAGACCACTTTACAAAAGGCTCTGCCTCGGCGCTGCTGGGGGCTCTCGAGTGCCTGAGACTGCGCAAGTCACAGAGGCACGCCATTAACAATGCCTTCCTCAAGCAACGGACGGACAAGCTCCTGTACGGCCTCATCGTCGCCGATGGCAAGCTCGTCAGCGTCATCCGGCCGCGGCGCCACTCCCTCCACCCGAGCGACCTCAAGCTCATCTTCAATATGCTCTTTGAATCAGGTGGCATCAGCGCCGGCGGCGGCGAGAACTGGGTGCCCCTTTGTCTGCCCGCCTTCAACAACAACGGCTACCTCTACATGTACGTCAGCTTCATCGACGGATCCTCAAACAGCGACGCCTCGTCCCAACCAGCAGACGCATCTTCCTCCAGCGGCGGGCAAACGGCCATCATTCTCGTGAGCCCCGACAAGGAGTCCTTCTTCGAGCTCAAGCAGATGCGCGACGCCGTCGTCGCCTCTCTCGAGAAGAACGGTCTTCTCGCCATCATTCGTGCAGCCGCGAGTGCAGGCCGCCCCGCCATCCCCGCCATCGCAGCGGGCAGCCAGGTCAGCCACTTCCTCTACAAATCCCGCGCCAACGTCCAGTTCTCCATGTCCGCCCTCGATCCCGTCTTCGCCTCCCCTATCGCCCGTCGCCGCCTCATGACCCTCTATCATCAGCTCCACGCTTCCGTCCACGCGAAGCACTCGGCCATGCGTGTCCTGCACTGCGTCAGCGAGGAGGCCACGAGTCTCGCGTGGGTGACCCCCATATTTGAATTTTACTGCGTCGCTGGCCCCAATGTGAGCAGGGCTACCATCACCCAAGGCGCGAACAAGATCATACAATGGGCCAAACGCGAAGAAGAACGCATTTTCATCATAGGCGGTGGTGTCTTTTAAGAAGAAGCGGCACATGGTAGCGGTGCCAAGCATATTGCCGACTCAATTGGCATCCATCTCATGAGGCGGGATTTTCAAATAGACCACGCCTTCACATACATGCAACAGTCTAAACAATCGACTCATCTATTGATAACTCGCGATAGTTCAGCTCCACCTGACCGTGCGTGTCTCCTCGTTACTGACCATGATCCATAGCATCAACGACCAAGAACAACTACCGGATACTTTCGCTCCATATACACAGCGTCTATCACGCCGTGGTCGCATTACATCCCCCACTAACCATGTCAGACTGGGTCAACGCATACGCACAAACCAGAAAGAGCAAACCAAAGCCATCCTGGTTAGATTGGAGAAGCCAGGCCGTTCTTGCATGTTCAAGAATTCCTGACATCTAGAACCCAACGGAAGTGCAGCCAAAGGTGGTCCAAAAGCCACGAGTCGTTCCGCGAGTCGCTATCGCTTACTGGCAACGTCGTTTTTTCATGCATGTGTGTACTACACGTTTAGCCTCACGAACCCACTGTCGCATACGATTGCTGATCCTCGCTGACTGAGTAGACCGAATACTCCCTTCGCTACTCCGAGGCTGCACAATAATGGCCTCAGTGCTTTTGTGATATCTGATATTGTCGTTGCTTGCAGCGATATTCAAAGGCTGTTCGGCTTGCCTGAGAGCCCTGTTCCGTAGCTGCAGTCGCGATTTGGTCATACGGATGCGCAAGTTCGACATTTTCTTCCTCAAACGCTGAGGTCGGGCATTTGACTCTGAGTGAAAGCTTCCTGTCTCGCTCGAACCGTCTTCCGTAGACATGCTGAGTCGCGTCGTGATCCTTGCCCCGTGGCAAGAGGGCGACTTTGGTCCTGTCAAGGACACCTTTTGCGTCCGAGGCTGGCTTGCCAGAGTACCTTGGTAGTCAAAAGCAACATGTCTGGTGGTCTTGGAATCTGCCGTTTTGGCGGATTGTGGAGGGGTGGTGAAAAGATCGCCGGGGGTTCCTGTTGTTAATATACTTGGAGTCTGACGTTTCGTCATGCCCACACGCCTTCTCACGGTGCCCTCACACGTCTCCGTATCCTGGTCAGCTCCCAACGTCGCAGCCTCAGCAGGTGAGGGTTTTGGCCCACGGCGGGATAGCTTGGTGGTCGCAATACCTTTCAACATCTCTTTGGGACCAGCATGAGGGACGCTGCGGGTCAATTGATCTTGCTCAGCGCCATATTTTGGAACCGCTCGTGGTCTTTGCGAGGCATTCGAGCGCATGGAAGGCGATAGTTTGGATAGGAAGCGCTTTTTTCTGACGGGCGATGGAGTGTTTCCGTCTTGCTCGTCCGTATTCATCTTAGAAGTTGAAGCAACATGGCGAGAGGTTTTTGGTGTTGACAAGTCAGACAAGTGGAAGGGCGAGAAGCTCAACGAAAAGTTATCTTCTGTCAATGAGTCGACCGTCCACAAGCCTGGCCGTGCCCTGTTATCCGGTGTTGGAGGAAGTGCTTTCTCAATTTTTGGGATGCTGTTTCGTACTCTCAACTGCCTGGCAGGAGAGATAGGCTGTGGTGACAAGATCTCTCCATTCGCGACAGTAATCCCTGACGTATTGATCTGCGGTGCCGGCCTGTTCTTGCTGTGGCAATGAGCAGGCGATTCTTGTTTACAATCAAACGATGGACGCCCGACCGACAAAATGTCTTTCCTGGCTTCGTCTTCACCTTGACAGGAAGAGAGCACAGCGATCAAGTCTTTCTCCAGTATTCCAGAAACGTCGTCGTCCTTCTTAACGAATGATGACCTTGCAACGCGGTCAAAGGACGAGACTAGAGCTGCGAGATCTGAAAGTCCGGGGTCCAGAGAATTGTGTAGGCTGGCACGCAGTAATGCCGTAAGCCTCTTGTAGGACGTGACTCTCTTTGAAGGCGTTTCGGGTGCAATGGATTGTCGAGATGTTGGCCTGGTGGAATTCGGACCAGTAGTGTCAGTCTCAGACTCTTGCTCCTTGGTCTGGTGGCGTGCCTCTTCAACTGGCACCGTCCACAGCGATTGGGTCGGTGGTGGAGCTGGAAGAGATTCTTGTGACGGCGTTGGGTGGCTACCTTGATTAGTGGATGGCAGATGATCGTTCGTGGCATTTCCCAAAACTTCTTCATTTTGGGCATCGAAGAGCGGCGGTTGCAATGGCTGTCCTTGGACTGCAGGCGCAGCTCGATCGGTCACAGAAGGACAGTTGCCGGTCTCTCCAGGCTCGAGTGCCGGCGTCTCATAACGCGAAATTGATCGCATACTTTCCACCTCATATTCAAGATTGCCGCCACAGTAAATCTCGAGTGTTCCGTCCTGATGATTTTCGTCACGCAATGACGAATCACTGAGATCCTTGACCGATATATCCACAACAGCATCGAGGCGTGCCTGTGTCTCATCTCTGAGCACCAATGGTCGATTGAAGCTCGAGGCTCGCTGTGGGATAGGTGCCAAAGGAGGCCCAGGCGTGTGAACAGGGGGTACTTGCGGAGCGCAGCTGTCAAACCCTTCCGTATAATCGTAGTAGAACGATGCACCTGGTGCAAGAGGAGGGGGGGGTTCGTATGGAAGACCAGGCCGACGGTAGAGTTCAACAATTGACGTCAAGCTCGATGACCTGGCGCTGTAATCACCAGATGATAGACAAGAGTGATCACCCCTAATGTTCCAGCGCCCGTGTGACTGGGATGAACGGCTCCGGCCCCGCCCTTGGGGTGCAGATGTGCTAAGAGGGATCGTTGGCTGGTTGGACCGATGACATTCGTTGCGTAACGACAGCGGAGGCGGTCGGCGATGACAATGAGGGTTCATAGGCCGCTGGGGTCCTTGAAATGTCCTCTGTGGTTCCGTTCAGTTTGCTTATGCAGTGATCGAGAACGGATTATGAACTCACGTAGGAAAGTCGATCGATTTCAACCATTCGACTGTAGTCTATCCTGCCATTCTCTGTCAGAGCAGGGGAAGAAGGCTGCGTACCAGGCCGCTTTAAACGGGTTGGGTATGGAAAAGGGGAACGAGGTCGCTGAGCAGAACATGTGCCCGAGTTGTCGTTGAGTGTCTTAGAAGATTTGTAACTCAGAAGCGGCCTGGAACCACAGGTTGTCATCGAATATGACCGCTGCCCGTTCTCATCCGCGGGAGGTGACAGCGAGCTAAGACAGGATGAGGGCTGGCTATCTGTACCGGAGCCATACATGGACAGGATCTCCGATGTAGTGTCTCTGTACGAGGGCAACCGTCTCCGATCATCTCGGCGGTGGGTGCCCTGACTTCCCCTTGAGCTGGGCCTGGACGGGGTTCTGGTTCGATCGAGGCTTGGTCTGGGTCGTGAAATCTTGTACATCGAGTGACCAAACGAGGTGGCGGCAGGAGATGACCCCATCGAGAACACTCCAATATCGCCGGTTTCTGTGGTTGTTTTCAGCATGCTTTGAAGGGGACCAGGCGACGAGAGCAGAGCCATGTTCTCGTTGACGCTTCTCAGTGGACGATGTGCGGTGGGATTCCTCGGCAGTGCCCGTCCTTGTTGCTTGAAAGTATTGTTGAGAGATCCTTGACTCGCAGATCGCTTCGTTGAAGCCGCAGACATGTCCATCCTGACTGGATTGCATGGGCATTGGACGACACTGGCTTACTGTTTCCGTATGTGGCGGTGCGACTGTTGTTGTTTGGGTATCTTCTCGAACCCTCATTGAAGACCACGGCTTGAAACCAAGATTGGCTTAATGAGATATTCTTGGCGATTAACGAAATAAGAAAAGAAGAGGATGCTCGACTTCGTGCTCGTCAACAGCACACGCCGTAGTGGGAATCCAAACCAGCAGATCGATGGTGTAATGGGGCATTCGAGACGACAAATGAAGACGGTTAGAGATCGGTCAGAGATGCTGTGTCGAGCCTGTAAATGTAGAGCTCGTTTCTGCGCACACGGAAGCTTTCTCTGGAAGGTGTAGTAGAGGTGCTCGCCACTACCATCTCTAATAGATCCCATGAGGAGGAGTCGGCCTGCTAATGCTCCTTCTATGTGGGAGTATCGGGAGATAGTGCCTGCCTCAGTGCCGAGTCCAACTCGAAGGCAGGTCCTTTCGGGAAGCTCTTGCCTCACTTGCCTCGCATGATGGAAGCATCTTTTGGCATGTGCTGGCCAGCAAACCAAACGCCAATTGGCTTCCAAATAAAGGGCCTCCCTGAGTGCATCTACAGTCAACATGAGCATACATCCTCAAGTTCGTGCACCGTTTCTCGTACCTAGCTGAGGTACACTCACCAACCGATGTTGAAGCATCACGTTTCCACATCTGAGTCTGAATCATGAGTGCCAAACAACTCTTACCAGACGCCACCTATCGTCAGCCAAGCCCTGGACAGCTCGAGAACCTCTGTGGGTTCAATCAAGTTGTGTGATTTACGTGAGCCGCAAAGGGCGTTCACCAACGACAATTGGAGGAAACATCGTGATGACCCTCCGCTCCATCAAGGTCATGCCGCACCATTCTTATTGACGAGTGAAAAAGTAGTCCATAAAAACGCAATCATGTTTTGAATCTCGTTGGCAAAGGCAATGTAGAAATCGGCGAGGACGCCGGATTGTCCAATGATATGAACCGACCCCAGGTTCGCATTGTACATCTTACATGGCAAAACAACCTCTTGCATACACCGATCCAGCCGCCCTCGTTGATCCCTTGATACTGGAAAATTCTTGCCGAATAGCATTGATGATTACGAATGTACATCGCTAGCACATGCACATGGACTAGGTACCTTACCCAGGCCAAGAGGACCAGCGGTGTTCTGAGCACCGAACCGTAAGATATGTGGCCTCAGCGATCTGACAGATCGCATGAGCATGATTCAGCTGTCGTAATCAATAGTCCCCAGCAATGTCTTCGGTCGAGCCGGACGACGCTTGCCGCCCCGGCCGGATGGCGGATGGCAATTTCGGGGGGTTACAGTCCGCAGGTATGGACAAGTCGCCACTTCTTGTCTTGAAGCAGCAAGTCCCGCTGAAATTGAAACATGGGAGCTCGGAGCGCGCCAGACCAGACCAGACCAGACCAGAGTCGCCTCGCAATTGTACTCGTCTCATAACCTTCTGAGATCCAGGCCACGCCGCCGTAAGCACAAAGGAGGGGGTCCAACTGTCGACGGTACCCTCCCTGATAAACCCCTGACAAGATGCTCGCCTCCACAGCGGCGCTAGGGAATGGCGGAGCACAGGGATGTCCTGTCCTTGGCCTGGGCTGGGCAGGTGGCAGAACGATTTGGGATGCGGCGTTCCTCAGCCGCGCCCCCGCCGTCACGGGCGAGATGGGGAAATGTGTCCTTTCCTCTGGCTGCAACCCTGGTAGGAGATCTACCAGTACCGGTGGACGCATAGGGTGAGTGGGCTGCTCAGGGTCGACCGCCACCTTTTTGTTCGAGTCTTACCCATCGAAGGCTGAGGGGCGGTAGGAAAACGCTTGATAAGCGGTGTGCGTGCGGACAAGAGAGGACCTGGTGTCAATGGCTCCGTATAACGTCAAGTTAGCAACGTGCCAATCGTTCGACTGCGGAGGATATTTTTTTCTCTTCCAACCGCTTGATTATCAATTGACCGTTTCTCTGCCTTTTGACGTGAGCCAGCGCTGGGGTTCATTTCTCCAACTGGGGGGTTGGGGAGGGGTGCAGTGTGGAGGCCGTTGCCCCTCCGCGTCCATTCACAGCCCACACGCCGCTTTGTGCCCGCCTTTCTGAACCAGTCGAGGTGGGGGCCATGTCCGCCGTTAAGTTCAGGGACATGCCGTGGCAAGAACGTACATGGTAGGTTGGCAAGGTTGGCCATGGAGGCGCTGTACCTGTTGGTACGATGGGCAGAAGCACCCCCCTCCTCCACAGGCTAGTGGCACCCGCGCCTGCCTTGTTAGTAAATGTCTGGCCTGCGTGCACCTAGGAACCTGGGCAGGTCCCTTCCTAGAGGAGAGGGGGGGGGGGGGGTTCCAGAAAAAGGGACACCTGTTCACAATCAACAGAGGGACTCAGCTTAAGAACTACAGCTTCCTTCTTAACCTCCACCGCCGCCCTCCACTTCCTACTTAAACCCACTCATCACCTTAGGAACCTAACTTGCTCCGAGCTTGCTTCCTATCGTGCCTCTTCTCCTTCCCCATCCCTCACCGTACATCACATCAAAGGTACAGTACCCCTCCCCCCCTCTGGCAGGATACTTGCTGTTTGATCTCTCAAACGAGCTCAATGCAGTCAGCCCATTCGCAACGGCCTTGCTTGCCTTGGCCGAACAATTTACCGAAGGTCACCACCCGCTAACTCGGTCTTTCTCGCAGGGTCAAAATGCACTGCAAGCGTGTTGCCTTTGGCCTCCTGGCCGCCGCCGCGGCTGTCGCCGCCGCTGACGATTCGGACGTCACCCAGCTCAAGAAGGACACCTTCGATGACTTTGTCAAGACCAACGACCTCGTCCTTGCTGAGTGTGAGTGTTTCTTTGCTCTGTCCTGCGAGGCCCTGAACCCAGCTAATCACGCTCTCCAGTCTTTGCTCCCTGGTGCGGCCACTGCAAGGCCCTCGCTCCCGAGTACGAGGAGGCTGCCACGTCCCTGAAGGAGAAGAACATCAAGCTCGCCAAGATTGACTGCACTGAGGAGGCCGACCTCTGCCAGACCTACGGCGTCGAGGGCTACCCCACCCTCAAGGTCTTCCGTGGCCCCGACAACATCTCCCCCTACTCTGGCCAGCGCAAGGCTGCTGCCATCACCTCCTACATGATTAAGCAGTCTCTGCCTGCTGTCTCTCTGCTCACCAAGGACACCCTTGAGGAGTTCAAGACTGCCGACAAGGTCGTCCTCGTCGCCTACATTGCCGCCGATGACAAGGCCTCCAACGAGACCTTCAACAAGGTCGCCGAGAGCCTCCGCGACAACTACCTCTTCGGCGGTGTCAACGATGCCGTCGTTGCCGAGGCTGAGGGCGTCAAGGCCCCTGCCATTGTCCTCTACAAGTCTTTCGACGAGGGCAAGACCACCTTCTCCGACAAGTTCGAGGTCGAGGCCATCGAGAAGTTCGCCAAGACCTCCGCCACTCCCCTGATTGGCGAGGTCGGCCCTGAGACCTACTCCGGTTACATGGAGGCCGGCCTTCCCCTGGCCTACATCTTCGCCGAGACTGCCGAGGAGCGTGAGGAGCTCTCCAAGACTCTCAAGCCCATCGCCGAGAAGCAGCGTGGTGTCATCAACTTCGCCACCATTGACGCCAAGTCTTTCGGTGCCCACGCCGGCAACCTGAACCTCCAGGCTGACAAGTTCCCTGCCTTCGCCATCCAGGAGACGGTCAAGAACCAGAAGTTCCCCTTCGACCAGGAGAAGAAGATCACCGTCGAGGAGATCACCTCTTTCGTCGATGACTTCGTCGCTGGCAAGATCGAACCCAGCATCAAGTCTGAGCCCATCCCCGAGACCCAGGAGGGTTCCGTCACCGTTGTTGTGGCCAAGAACTACGAGCAGATCGTGCTCGACGACACCAAGGATGTTCTCATTGAGTTCTACGCCCCCTGGTGCGGTCACTGCAAGGCTCTGGCCCCCAAGTACGAGGAGCTTGCCACCCTTTACAGCGAGAGCGAGTTCAAGGACAAGGTTGTCATTGCCAAGGTTGATGCCACCCTGAACGACGTTCCCGATGAGATCCAGGGCTTCCCCACCATCAAGCTGTACCCCGCCGGCGGCAAGTCTGAGCCTGTCACCTACTCGGGCTCCCGCACCATTGAGGACCTCATTGAGTTTGTCCGTGACAACGGCAAGTACAAGGCCGAGGCCTCCAAGAAGGAGGAGGTTGTTGCCGAGGAGAGCCAGGCCGCGCCCGCCGCCACCGAGGGTGAGGCCGCCAAGGAGTCTGACGAGTCTCACGATGAGCTGTAAACGATTTACTGGGATAAAATTGGGTTTTGCGTGAAAGGAGGGGGCCATGTCCCGGATAGGACTTTTGATACCTCCATGTTCTTCAGTTAGTTCACGATGCATTCAGATGGGGTAATGCAAATCATGAATCAAGGACGTTGTAACTTTGCTGCCTTTTCGTGATGGTTTGAGGCGGCGTCGTGCTGTGTGATGGATGCTTTACGGACCAAGAGACCGACGCCTCTTTCTGAGCACTTCCACTCGTACATGCACAGCGGCTGAGGAGGTGTGGGGTGTTTCCGTGTAGTTGATGCTTCCGCTCGCACTTTCGTACAACTTGGTATACACAAGATGATCACCCAGCCCCGTCTGCTTCTCTGCAAGCCTTCAGCGAGAACGTGTTTCTTTCTGCTGGGCTTCAGACGCGCGTCACACATGGTCCCATTTCCATCCTGTCGGGTCTGCCCACCCACGCCGTACTCTCAGGCTCTATATACAAGCCCCAGCCAACCCGTTCCACCACAAAAAAAAGGAGGCCCCAACCCGTTTTCGTCGTTTTCGCCGCGTGCCTCGTCCGCTTTATTTCCTCTTGCGCTCGAGCGCGTCCATCTTCTCCTCCAGCGTCTGGACGTAGACGGTCACACGCTGGACAGCCGCTTGCAGAGCCTGTTTAGAGGGAAAAACCTGGTCAGCGTGACAGTCCTCAACGTACATGTCGTATGTGAATGGGCACTAAGGGGAAACGTCCTGCAAAAGAGGAACAGGGAAAGGCGGCGCTCGCGCTAAGGGTGGGTTTCTACTGGTACGAGAGGCATCCATCCCCTTTCCCTCCCTCCGTTGGCGCTGCAAAGGGGTTTGTTTGGAGGCTCGGGGGGGCAGAGAGGACGAAGAGAGGAGTGGGGTGGTATCAGATGCAGACACGCACGTAAATGTCCTCGGTGAGGAGCTCGTTCGAGAGCTTGTACTCCTTGACGAGGTAGGAGTAGACGCCGGCGCCGGCGAGGGAGCTACCGGCGAAGAAGCCGAGGAGGCTGCGCGCGAGGGAGAGCACAACGGTCAGCTTGCGTTCATGCCAAAAGGGGGGCGGACGCGGAGGGACATGGGGGACGAGGCTGGTGGAGAGAACGTACCCGCCTCGAAAGGCGCCCACGGGTTTCCGTGCTGGCAGAGGTGTTGCGACGGCGTCGCGGAGGGTGGCGGATGTCTGGAAGGTGCGGGCGGTGCGCACGGCGGGGACGGCACGGGGCACAGCGCGGGCGCTGGCGGCGAGGATTCTCGAAGACATCGTGATGCTGTGCTAAAGGGGAGGACCTATCGGGGGCGAGGTAGGGCGTCGGTTCGATGGAGAGGATGGCACGTTATTCGTGGTTCGGAAACTGGATGCGGTCGCGGCTCGGGACGTTGGGCCAGGTCGTCAGATTCCGGTTGTTTGTAACGAGGTACAGCAGGTGGATATGTGCTTAGATAGCTGTTGGAATTGAGCGGATCCGATTGGGTGGGACGAGCCTCCTCTTCCTCTCTAAGTGCATGGCCCTCACGATGCCCCGGTCCTTCCTCATCTGTTGGACTACCTCCTCCATCCCGACAAACAGTCATGTACAGCAACAATTTCGGCGTCATCGAGGTCGCTGGCGCGAAAACAAAATCGGCACCCGGCTGGGCCTATGTACCTGACACGGGCGTCAACCCAGCAGCAGCCGCGCTCCAGCCCTCAAATCGCAAGCGAGCCAGGAACCAAGCCGCGAATCCCTCGGGTGCCGATCTCTCCGTCCGACAAGAGGCCAAGATTCGCAAAGAAGTCGAGGCCCTCGACAGGGAAAGCAATCGCGATGCCGGCATACCAATTCCTCCCAAGGCCGGCGCCGCCAAATGTCAGTACTCATCCCGACACGCTGTGCGATCCGACAGACCAATGCTGACAACATTTCTCGTAGCCTTGAACAAGAGCACGCCCAACGTGAGGAAGATACTCCAATCGCAGAAGACGTTTGCCAACCACCTCGACGACTACGAAGCCTTTTTGGCGCAGAACGACGGGAACACAGCGCAGCAACCTGGCCCGAACGCGAAAAAGACGGCTCAGGCAAGCCAGACCGGCAAACGGCCCCCGCAACCGAACCAGCACTCCAAGCGAAAGGCAGCTGCCGCTGCCGCCGCCGTCGCGGCTGCGGAAGCAGAAGCAGAAGCGAGCTCCTCGTCGAAAAAGTCGGCACCCAGCCGCGCCCGATCACGCCGTGGCAAGGTTGAGCCCGCGCCGGAACCGGAGCCTGCGCCCGAGACGCCCGACGTCGAGATGGAGGACGCGCCGACCGAGGTGCCGACGGCGCCGCCCATCCTGACGCCCTACGAGAAGGACCCGCCGCCCGCGCACCCCGGTGACAACGACCCGCTGCTCGCGTCGGTGCTGCCGGGGCTGCCGGACGACGAGGAGCTGCGGCGCCTCCTGGCGCATCCGCCGTTGAAGTACACCGAGGCGCAGGCTGGCTGGAGCGAGGCGGACAGACAGTATCCCGTGCGGCGGTTCTGCGAGGTGTGTGGCTATTGGGGGCGCGTCCGCTGCATGAAATGCGGCACGAGGGTGTGCGCGCTTGACTGTCTCGAGGTGCACCGAGAGGAGTGCGTGACGCGGTATGGGTTGTGAGGTGTGAGGCGACAGGGACGACAGACATCGACTCTGAACACGGCCTCGATGAGGGGCGTTTCTTTTTTTTTTTCATTTTCATGGTTACGGATGCATTCGCGATGATACCCAGGGCTCGTGCTCTACAGGCATGCGCAGACGAGAGTTAAGGGGGCATTGTGACTCTCGGGTCATATGTTCGGCGGCAGGTCACCCCACCAATCTATGTACAGGTCTAAAACGACCATGCGCTACGCATCCGGCGTCTGTGGCATGGCATGACATCCCTACTCTTTCTTTTCCTACAGCGCCAAAGAATCGGACAAGCAACGTCCCTTTCAGAATTCGGGACACGAGCAACCCCCACCTCCCCCCGTCCAGCAGAGGCTTGGTTGAGGAAAATCACCACGGATTGGTGAGGAAGAACTCCAAGTCACCCTTGGTCGTGCCCCCGGCGCACACGGCGCGGAAGCTGCCGGTGGGACACACGGCGCGCGCGGCGCGCACTCAGGCCTCCCACCGCTTCTTGGCCACGTTGATGGTGGCGCCCTCGGCCATGACCTTGAGCGAGAAGCGGGCCGAGCCGGCGACGCCCATGGTCTCGACGGGGCTGCCACGACAGGCCTTGACGTCGCCGGCGATGCCGCCCTCGCAAATGTTGAGCTCGGCAACAGACTCGTCGTGGAAGACAATGTGGCTGGCTCTCTTGTCAGTTTTCGTTTCTTCTTCTTGGGTATTGTAGGAAACGAGATGGGGGCGGCTGCATGGCGCTTACACGTTGCGGTCGATGCACTGAGCTTCAAGGATGGCGGAGGGATTCATCTCCATGGCGGCGCGCATCTGGCCGACCTCGAGATACTGCTGGGGGACTGAGAAGCGAGGATAGTTCTTCGGCAGGGCGAGGACGGCGGTGAGGGTGCAGAGGAGCAGGAGGGCGATGGCTCGCGGCGACGATGATGGTAATGATGAAGGCATGATGTTGTGTGTGTGTGTGTGTCTGTGTGTGTGTGTGTGCAAACGAACGGGTTCAGGCTTGTATCTTCAAGCTCTTGATGCTCCTGTTGGTCTCTTCCAACTGCGTCAGGTGGTACGTTTCGTTTGGTTTCGTTTGGAGACGTTGAATGAACGCTGGAATTGCAAACGTCGAGTCTTAAGGCACAAGGGACAAACTGTCAGAGAATGGGATTGTGATGAAAGGAAAGCTTGTTCGGCACGGCCAAAGCAGATGTTGATAAACGAGGCTCACGGCCAAGAAAAACGCACTTGTCCCAAGCAAGGCGAAGGAAGGGAAGGTGATCACAGATCAGCAAAGACACGAAAAAGGGAAAGGAATGGAAGCGACAGTAGAACCGTCGTCGAAGAATGAAAGATTGCCTATGAATCGGGCTATTCCTGTGGAAGGGAGAGGAGGACAAGAGCGAGGGAGGGGGGAGGGGTTGCGCGATGCACGGAATCGGAAGGCTAATATTGAATTGATTAGAGACCGCTGCAGATAGACAGGCTTCTCCTCTCGTCTCGTCTCGTCTCCTCCTCTCCCCTCCCCTCATGGCAGCAGCTGCGGAGCATCGTTTGAGCAAGAAGGCTTAAAAGCAAGGGCCAGCAAACGGCTTCCACTCAAACGTCCTGTCCAGTGCTGTGCTGTTCCACGCTGTCCTGTTGGCTGTTTGCCAAGTCGCGGGCGACATTTGACGGGAACAAGCCAAGCTAGCGCCCTAGTGGGACGAGAAACTGGAGTCGCTGGAGACAGTGGTCCTCCTGGCATCATCTGAATGCACTGCTCTGGTACGTCTGTGGAGGGGAGACAAGCTTCAGACCCTGGTGTACCCTCGTGTGCATGATACACGATCGTCTCTTGGAGATCATCGACGGGACCAGGGCGGGAGGGGCATCGCAGCCAATCAAGGTGGTCCCGCTCGTCCAAGCCGGGGCGCTGAAACGAGGCCGAGGCCGTTGATCCAGGGCTCTCCCAGACATCGTTCTGTGATGTATAGGCACTGAAACTTGCGCGAGCCAGGGGGAAGGGGAGCCGACGACGGCGGTGCCGGGAAGATCGGACGGCTCAAGGTCGCCGCACGCATCCATCCGCCGTTCAACGCTCGCCGTCAATGCTTCGAGTCGTCGTCGTCGCTGTTAAGCCCAGACACTGCACAGTGACCCGAGTTTCGGCATGGCGGCGACCGCGTGGCCCGTTCCTCTACACCTTTGTTCATCGATCTCCCAAAAATAGCAGTTATAAGCTCGCTGTCTCAATAGCGTTGCTCTTATCGATTCCAGGTAAACATCGAGTTCATGCGGCTCCAGCCCCAGCCGATGGATGCTCTGTCTTGTGGAAACAGCGTGCCGACTCCGCCGGACCAGTATTAAAAGTTGGCACCGCCCAGTGCTGTCTCCTCGTCGTCGCATCCCGAGAAGGAGACCGTTCTCGACCGCCTAGTCTCGAGTGAACACGTCTCACTCTGCTCTGATCTTGCGACATCAACAGTCAGATACCATCAGACTGTAGTCTGACCTCATCGTCATTCAGCCCAAACATCAGACACTCCACTGACTCTGCATCGCGCTCTAGCGCCTACTCTGTCCACACACCCCGCACACGCCAAAGTCTCCAGGATTCAGATACCGGCTATTCTTACAAGACGAACTCTGGCATCTCCACGCATTCGGCACGCTGTCTGGATCGAGCACATTGGAACACACAGTACAGGTGATCGACAGCTCCGGGTTCGCAAACGAGCACACGCTGCATGCCGTCACACTTGCCGTCGTTTCCCCTTGTATGCCATTGTCGATCGTCGAGCCTGGAGAGCCCTTGTCCGTGTCCTCTTCCGCCTTGATCTTCGGACTGGTTGCTTTTTCCACTGTAGATAAAGGGACGTCATTTTCGGCTTCCTCTCGTTTGATCCTCGTGGTGGGTGCCTTGGTCAGTGGTTGTCGTTTCACTTTTGGCTCTTCTGAGGGCTGTGAACGTTGAGACGAGTCATCGCGACTCCGTTGCTGAGGTGGTGGCTCCCGCCCTGCCACCTGCCCTCGGAAATCAAGAGACGTCTGCGTCCATTGTTTGACCGACCGCAACTCTTGTAGTTCCTGCTGCGCATCTTGACCGTCCGGGTTCTCATCCTCGCACACCTTGATCATGCCGCGTCCATCCTTGTCGAGGAGTCTCTGCCCATTGAGATCGATGGCGTCCTCGTGCTTGATGTCCGCCACGTCATATTCGTAATCGCTCTCATCCTCGCTGACGTTCTCGCTCTTCGCAAGACGCTCGTCGTCGTCGTCGTCTTCCTCCTCCTGCTGCTCCACCTTTTGCTGCCCAAACCGGGCCAGCGCCGCCGCGGCACGCAGCTCCCTGCCCCTCGCACTGCCAGCAACCCTCGGCTTGGCGGCCGTCTTCCTGCCCTTCTCGAGCTCGCTCTTGACGGCCTCGTCGGCGCCGAGTGCGACGCCGTTGGCGCCAAACTTTTTCAGGATGCGCCTCTCCTTCTGCTCCCGGTACGACAGCCGCGGCTGCTTGGCCTTGCGCTTGCGGCGGCCGCGCGACCGGAAGGTGCCGCCGCAGAGGTGCTCCGGCAGGCCCTCGCCCAGCGGCGCCGTGTCGCCGGCCCAGGCGCCCGACGCGAGCAGCGTACCGCGGCCCCAGAGGCCGTCGCCCGTGTAGCCGCGTGACCAGAGGGCGCGCATGCTGTCGGCGTAGGCGTTGCGGACGGCCCAGAAGGCGCGCGAGTGGTTCATCTGTTTGCAGTGTGCGAGTCTTTTTGTTGCGAGGCCGTGTCAGTGGCTGTTGAAGGGGATGGGTAGAAGGGAAGGCGGATGCATGAGGATTATGGGTGTGAATAGGGGACGGAGACTCACTCGTGCATCATGACCATCTGGACGTACTCAAACGGCAGCCAGCGGCCGGCGCGGGTCTTGAGAACGAGCTGGATGACCTCGCCGGCGTTGAAGTTGCGGCCCACAAATTCGCGGTTCGGCTCGTACTCCTCGAGAGACATGACGGAGAGGGAGTGATCCTTCATGATGGGGACTGTCGATGCCGTCAGAAAGGGAGGGGCTTCACACGGGATGGGCGAGCTTGGACGTACGACATTGTGCAGCGATGCGTTCGAGAAAGTCTCGAGCAATCTTCTCGTTGGGGCCCGGGAGGGGCTTGATGAAGATGATGCGCTCATTGGGATGTGACTTTTTGGCATTGATCCGCTGGATGCCGATGGGCATGTTGGCTATGGAGGGGGACGGATGCTGGATGTAAGTGAAGTCGACGAGTTGAGGGTGGAAGGAGTGTGTCGGGGTCAGTGCCTACGAAGGCAAGTGCAGCTGTACTGCTGCTGCCATTTGCCACAGTGCTGATGATTCACTGGCAAGTGGGGGACTGTCGCTGACGTGCACCTTCCATACGTCCACCGCAGGCTGAACCTCGACAACCAGCGAGGGATGTGCTCGCTGAGACGGAGCACTCTACAGACAGAGGCCGACGATACGAATGAACCCAAACCCATATATTGGTCTTGTATACGCCATCCCTGGTCGGCGGGGTTCCTTGCCATGTCCTGACAGAGCGACGAACACATGGATCACGATGCATCGCCGACGGCGTGCAGAGCTCATGCAGCCACGTCCCGTGTGAATGCTCCTATCAATATCAATCCTGCGAGCCTATGCACCTTCAGAGTGTCATGCCTAACGAAAGAACACCAAAGACCCGATGCATACGCTACCTCCTCCTGGCGCCGCCCGCGGCAGCATCGCCCCTCTCGGCCAGCGACACGACCTCGGTGATGCCCGCCGCCTCCTGCTCCTCCTCCAGCGCGTTGATTTCCTCACGGCAATCCCACCACTTTTCCTCGCTGAGCTCGAACGCCTTGGCCTTGAGCTCCTTGATGGGGTACGACTCGGGCTGAATGTTCTTCCACCGAAGCTGCGTCATGAGGACCTCCTGCCACTCATTGGACGTCCGCACGAAGAACTCGCGTCTCGTTTCGAAGGGCTTCTGAGGTCAGCACGAATCGAATGATCACGGAGTGAGTGGACGGGAATGGGAAAACACGTACCCTGGGATGAGGAAGACCGTCGTCGACCGAAGCCGTGGCCTCCGTGTCGTCGTCATCTGGCACCGAGGTGGCCGCCGTCGTCTCAGAGCCGCCGACCGAGACCTCGTCTTCCTGCTTCTTCTTGCGCTTGCTGGGCGTGTGCATGTTCTTGGACGGCTCGTCATCGGCCATGTCGTCGTCCTCGTCGTCTTCCTCCGAGTCATCCTCGTCGTCTTCGTCATCGTCGTCATCTTCATCCTCCGAGTCCTATCACACGTCAGCGACTCGGTACCACAACCAAACAGCGTCTCCGCGGCGCCACGTACAAACCAGTCCTCAGCGGGCCTGTTGAAGATCTCCTTGCAGCCGTCCATCTTGCCGAGGTCGACGGCGTACAAGTCGTCAAACGTAAACTCACGGTCTTTTTGCTCAAAGGTGCCGCCGTAAATGTACAGCACATCATCCTGCACGGCCATTTGCGCGTTGAACCGCGGGTGCGGCAGCTCCATGCTGACCGGCATCTCCCGCAACGGCGTCTCGTCGGCCTCGGGTTCGTCGGCCTTGCGGTCAAGGTCCATGTCGTCGGCGTCCTCGAGCGAGGCGCCCGTCTCGAGCGCCGCCAGCTGCTTCAGCAGCTCGTCCTCCCTGTCCTGGGCGCGGGCGCGGCGGCCGGCGCCGCGCTGGTCGGCGCCCGTGGCCCTTTTGCCCTGCTGCTGGCGCGGCTTGCGCAGCGCCATGGGGAAGAAGCGGTTGCGCTCGACATTCCACGCGAACAGCTCGCGGAAGAACTCGCTGTCCATGCCGTCCTCGCTCTCCTCGACGTCGTGCACGCCGCCGAAGAGGATGCCGCGGCCCTTGTGGTAGGTCATGGTGGCGCCGGCGCGCTTCGGCGCGGGGGCGTTGGCCGGCTTCTTGCGCCGCTCCCAGCGGATGACGGGCGGGGCCGTCGGCGGGCTTCCCTCCGGGGCGGGCGCCATGCGCAGGAAAAAGCAGTCGTCGTGGATCAGCGGGCGGAGGATGTTCTTCTGGCCCTGCGAGGCGCCCTTGGCCTGCTTGTTGGCGGCGACGGTGGCTTTGACGCGCGAGTAGCCGCCGTAGAGCACGGCGCCCTTTTCGTGCGGCAGCAGCGTGAAGGAGGAGCGAGCGTCGGGCTTGAGCTGCGCCGGCGGCAGCGTCGGTGTGTGCCACGAGAAATTTTGCGTGTCAAAGATCCACAGGTCGGCGAGGTACTTGGTCTGGTTCGACGTGTCCTGGAAGCCGCCAAAGAGGATGATGTAGTGTTTCCAGTACGTCATGCGGTGGCCGCTCCGGGCCGGCGGCGTCTTGCCCTTGCACTCAATCTTGGTCCACTCCCTCGTGCTGGGCTCGAGGCGCCAAAAGTCCGAGTAGTGATGGAAGGTACCCTGCTTGGGCGACGAGAACTCGCCGCCAAAGAGGTAGATGTGGTTGGGGTTGCCGGCGCGCGTCCAGGCGTGGCCAGACCTCGGCAGCGGCGCGTTGGGCGAGGTGACGAGGCGCCACTCGTCGCGGTCGACATAGTAAATGTGCAGGTCGTTGAAGAACTGCGCCAGGGCGCCGTTGAAGTACTCGCCACCAAAGAGCAGCAGGTTGTTGCGGTCACAGGGCGACGCGATGAAGCACGAGGCGGCGCGGGCCTTGGGGGGCCCATCGCAGACCGTCTCGGTGACCTTGAGGAAGAGCTCCTGCTGCTTCCTGTATTCCTCGAGGACCTCGTCGAGGTCGACGTCCTCGGCGTCGCTGCCCTCGACCTTGGAGGCCTTCACCTTGGCCTTCTTCTCGGCCTTGTTGGCCTGCTTCGCCTTTTTCGCGGCCTACTCCGGCGGAGGGGAGTGTCGCCTGTCAGCGAGGGGGGGGGGCGCTTTGCGGCAGCGGAACGACTCACTAGCTTGGCCTTTTTGTCATCACCCTTTCCCTTTTTGTCCTTGGCCATCTTGAATCACAGCAGCTGATTCTGGATGATATATGAAGTCAAGGGATGTTCATGTGAATTTTGGGGACGTGAGAGTGTGCTGTTGAGGTGGGGTCCGTTGTCAAAAAGACTTCCAATCGAGTGTGAAGCTCGACATGGAGGGGCATACAGTGTGCGAGTGCCCCGCACTTGCAGAACGTCAAGGGTTGTGCTGTGTTTTACAGTGCGAATAAGTGCGTGTCACGCTCCTAGCCTCGTGGATCATGATGACCCTGGTATTGAGTCCTGCCCAGGGTGATGAAGCAGAGGTGAGGTTCCTGTATGATTTCCGAGGTGTGCATGAAGAGTCATGCTGCGGACGTCAACTGTGGACAAGGTGACAGAAGCACGACACACACCTCTTCCCATCAACTATGTCATGGTAGCCAGAATCGACTGGGGCTGTCATTTGTGCATAATCGACTGAGGCTCTCATGAATAATCGACTGAGGCTCTCATGAACAATCGACTGAGATTGTATGTAAATAATCAACTGGAACAGTCAGTTCCAAAGAGGTCAAAACACGGGAAGCTCTATCAGAACCCAAAGTATGGATCCCACTAGCATGTGATGTTGGTGGTTCATCCAAGGTGCAGCTCCTGATGCATGTAAAGCCGATATGCATCAAAACAGCGAGTCTGTGTCCCTCGGCCCGCTGCTGGTGCTGGCCGATGCTGTCAGAGTGCCTGGTGCTGGCGGTGCTGACGGCCCACGTCATCGTCGCTCGTCCGAGCTGCGGCTGGACGCTCGTGTCGCCTCCGTCACAGGTCCGCGAGTGCGCGATTCCACGACGAAGCTCTCCCCCCCCCCCTTCTCCCCCAAGTCTCAGCCGAGACAACCGACCACCGCGGCTCGCTTTCCTACGTCTTTCTTCTACCCTTTCAGCTCTTTCCCCATCACGGCTTCACCCATCTTCTTCTAGCCGTCATTGTGTTGTTTTCTTTCGTCCTTTTATGACAGCACTAGAACCAGGTGCATGCCAGTCGGAGGCTGCCTTGTCGCATCCCTCCGTCCCACTTGCTTTGCGCCTCGATCCTTCAACCTCTGCTCGTCGCCGTCGCATACCTGTCCGCCTCCTACAGCCACGAACCAGCTGTTGAGCCCAAGACATGGCGCCACACAGCAATGAGACGGCCAATTTCGGGGACGAAGCCAAGGTCGCCACCGCACCACCAGGTGAGCTGCTCTCCCTCCTCCCGTCATCAAGCTACACTCGACAGCCACGGTCACCATGTCTCGAAAGAAGTCCGTCCGACGTGCGGCTCCGACGAAAGACACAAAGACGAACCCCAGCACCAAAGATTCGCAGCAGGAGGACATCTCCGTGGCTAACCAACACGCAGAAGCGTTCGAGTCGCAGGCCGAATCGAAGCCCGCAACGAGGTCCGAAAAGAAGGCAGGAACGCAGCTCGAGAGCATCGTGCGCCCCGTCGCTGAAAGACAAGAATCGAGCCATGAGTACTCGGGCACAGTATGAGCAGCATCCCCCACGAACTCACCCCCAACACACCGAAGCCGCTGACCATCGCAGGGGTTGGACGAGACGCCAAAGAGCCCGACGCGCGGCCACTACAGAACACCCTCCCTCAACGCGGCGAAGCGCAGGGGGTCCAGGCAGGAGGATGGAGGCGCGATCAACTACGCCCGCGCCTCTGGGTCAGTTCGCAGCGACAACAGCGACGAGACGGTCCACACGCTGGTCAACGGCGCGGATCGCCACCAGGACGCCAAGGAGGGCGACGAAGACACGGGCTATCCGCCTCTGGTGCTGGCGGCACAGGGCCAAGGCCGGTACGAGAGGCACGCCTGGAAGGCCGGCGGCATCCGGTTCGTGCCGCTGCGCGTGCCTGTCGTGCGGCGGCTGCAGATGGCCGCCGTGCTGATGCACACCGTGTCGATCCTGGCCCTCGTCTCCTTCTTCTTCTTCCTCGCCGCGATCCCCCTCAACTGGCCTCTGCTCGTGCCGTACCTCATCCACCTCTCGCTGTCGACGGCGCCGTCCGACGGCCGGCTGCGCTTCCGGTCCGAGTTTCTGCGATCCCTGCCCGTGTGGAGGCTCTTCGCGGGTTACTACCCGGCCGAGCTGCACAAGACGTACGAGCTGCCGCCGACGAGAAAGTACATTTTCGGGTACCACCCGCACGGCATCATCTCGCACGGCGCGTGGGCCGCCTTCGCGACCAACGCGCTCGGGTTCCGGGACAAGTTCCCGGGCATCACCAACACGCTGCTGACGCTCGACTCGAACTTCCGCATCCCCTTTTACCGCGACTGGATCCTGGCCATGGGCATCCGCTCCGTGTCGAAGGAGTCCATCTGGAACACGCTGACGCGCGGCGGGCCCAACAACGAGGGCATGGGCCGCGGCGTCACCATCGTCATCGGCGGCGCGCGCGAGTCGCTCGAGGCCCAGCCGGGCAACCTCCGCCTCATCATCAAGGGCCGCAAGGGCTTCATCAAGATGGCGCTGCGGACGGGCGCCGACCTCGTGCCCGTGCTGGCCTTTGGCGAGAACGACCTCTACGACCAGCTCAGCCCGCGGACCCACCCCATGGTGCACAGGATCCAGATGTTTCTGCTCAACGTGTTCAAGTTCACGCTGCCGGCGCTGCACGGACGCGGCATCCTCAACTACGACGTGGGCGTCATGCCGTACCGCCGGCCGCTCAACATCGTCGTCGGCAAGCCGATCCGGGTCGCGGCCGCCACGACGCCGCAGCCGGACCAGGCGGATATCGACCGCCTGCATGCGCTGTACGTGGCCGAGCTGCAGAAGCTGTGGGAGACGTACAAGGACCAGTTTGCGAAAGACCGCACGTCGGAGATGACCTTCATAGGCTAGCCCTCGGGATGTCTGGATGGAGCTTCTCTTGCGTCAATTTTTCCTTTGTCTGGGGGGGGGGGCATGGATCAGGCTGTACAGGGTGTCACAGGCTTGGCCAAGACCAAAAGCACAAGGCGCGCCAGGGATGGAGATGGTGCATGGGAGCCAGCTGCGTGGGAGCAAGCTTCAGGGGTTCAAGGCGGGCTGGTTGGGTCGGATCACGATTGTTTTGCCATGGAGTATCTGTAGGAACAGGGATAACGAGTTCACATTAATCCTGCGCAGCAGCATTATCTTGCACTGCACTCTCGTGACGAGTGGTGATAGCTGGTATGTGGTGATAGTCAGTACGTGGTGTTGTGCCTATGGGTGATGGAGGCCGGTCGACAGGAAGGCGCCTCGAGGTCACCTGACTTGGCGACCGAAGGGCGTGCATCGTGACGCGTCGACTCGGATCAAACCCTGTCTCTGAGACACGTCTCTTCCGGCAACACCCAGCACCTCTTCCCCCTACGAATCGCCTCGTCTCTTGATGCCATTGATTCCTCAATAGTCTGTCTAAAAGCTAGCATCATCTTGCCGGACATGGCGCGAGCCTCTGCACGCATCAAGGCACACCCCGCCATCGAGCCCAAACAGGAACCAGAGCCCCCATCACCCCGGATCGCTAAAACGGCTGCGAACGCAAAGGACAAGGCGGCCAAGGCAAACGCAAAGGCGTCGCCCAAGAAACCGGCCCCCAAGCGCAAGGCCCCAAAGGACGAAGACGCCAGCTGTGACAGCTGCGCCGAGAAGGACGAGTCTTCGGACGACGACGAGAAGCCGGCCAAGAGGAGAAGAACCACGGCAGCACCCAAATCGGCAGCCGCCGCCAAACCAGCAGCAGCAGCAGCAGCAGCAGCAAAAGGAGGAAAAGCCGCCAAGGCCAAACCGGCAGCAGACGGCATGCCGCTCGCCGCCCGCACGGCCGTCACGTCGCTGAAGCGCGCCATGTACATTGGCGCGCACGTCTCGGGCGCCGGCGGCGTGCAGAACGCCATCGACAACGCCGCGTCGATCGGCGCCAACGCGTTCGCGCTGTTCCTCAAGTCGCAGCGCAAGTGGGCGTCGCCGCCGCTCGCCGCCGATGCGCGCGCGCAGTTCGTGTCGCGCGCCGCCGCGCACGGCTACGACGCGGCGGCCCACGTGCTGCCGCACGGGTCGTACCTCGTCAACCTCGCGCAGGCCGACGACGCCAAGGCCGAGCAGGCGTACGGCTGCTTCGTCGACGACCTCGCGCGGTGCGACGCCCTCGGCGTGCGCCTCTACAACTTCCACCCGGGCAACACGGGCGGCGCGCCGCGCGCCGCCGCCTGCGCGCGCATCGCGGCCCAGCTGAACCGCGCCCACGCCGCCACGACCGCCGTCGTCACGGTGCTCGAGAACATGGCCGGCGCCGGCAACGTCGTCGGCACGCGCTTCGAGGACCTGCGCGACGTCATCGCCCTCGTCGACGACAAGGACCGCGTCGGCGTCTGCATCGACACGTGCCACGCCTTTGCCGCCGGCTACGACATGCGCACGCCCGACGCCTTCGCCGCCACCATGACCGCCTTTGACGACATTGTCGGCCTCCAGTACCTCAAGGCCCTGCACCTCAACGACAGCAAGGCCCCCTTTGACGCGCACCGCGACCTCCACGCCAACATCGGCACCGGCTTCCTCGGCCTGCGCGCCTTCCACTCCATCGTCAACTATGCCCCCTTTGCCGGCCTGCCCATGGTGCTCGAGACGCCCATCGACCGCAAGGGACCCGACGGCAAGTCGGTCGAGGACAGGCAGGTCTGGGCCGACGAGATCAAGCTGCTCGAGAGCCTCATCGGCATGGACGCCGAGAGTGACGCCTTTGCCGCCCTCGAGCGCGAGTTGCAGGACAGGGGTGCCGGGGAGAGGCAGAAGATTCAAGACCAAGTCGACAAGAAGACAGCCAAGGAGACGAAAAAGGCGGCGCCCAAAAAGGCCGCTGCCAAACCCAGGGGGCGGAAGAAGAAGGAGGAGACGGACGACGAGAGCGACTGAGCGCCGCTCGGGCCCTGAATTTCATGTGGACCATGTACGATATCACGTCTGTATTGTATCCAAAGCGGTGAAGAGGGAAAATGAAGACCTTGAAACAGATTCAAACAAAAGAACGATTCTTGGTATTATGAGAAGGAGGAGAAATCCAACGCCGTCATGCCTCATTCTAAAAAGGAGAAACCGAACAGCCTAGAGGCTCATCGCCTCGCGCGCGCGTGCGCTTCAACCTTGCCAACCAGGCTCTTGAGCCCGACACCCCTCTCGCAGTTCTCTTCGAGCCACGCCTCCATCCTCTCTCTGACCTGCTTCAACCCCCGGAGGATGGGCATCTTTTGTCCCTCCTCCACGTCGACGAACGACCCCGGGTTGAGCAGCAGGTCAAAGCATTCTCCCCAGATCTCCGTCTGCCAGTACCGCTTCAGACTCTCCTTGATGCGGTACCGCCTCCCTCCGGCGCCGATGCCGCCCTGATCGCACCGTACCGTTTCAATGTATCGCCCGAACAGGAGGCAGTAGATGACGCCGGCCAGGCCGTGGTAGTCGATCTGCCAAGTCCAAGGCCGCCCCTCGCGCATCTCGGCGCAGTCGTGTGCCCCTGTCTTCCAGTCGGCGACAAACTGCGTGTCGGGCCCAAAGTTGCGCATGTCGATGCCCCGGCCGAAATCGATGAGCACCACGCCCCTCGCCGCCCATCCACCCGTGCCGTCGGCGCGGTACTGCGTCGCCAGGGGCGCGGCATTGGCGGCATCGCCGTTGTCGAGGCGCAGCAGGCAGTTGTCTGGCTTCAGGTCGCCGTGCAGCACCCCCCGCGCGTGCAACGCCTCGATGGTGCGCAGCAGCTCGATGGTGAAGAACATGCCGAGCTGCTCATCCATGACAGCTGAGGGCTCGGCACGGAACAGGTTGACGACGTCGAGCAGCGAGCCGTGCGGGTGCAGCGGCAGCAAGAGGAAGCCCTCGTCTTGGTAGAGGTGCATCTCGTGGGCGTACGTTAGGGAGGCAGCCGCGCGATGCTGGGGGCCTACGCGAGAATGCGCGAGGCGAATCATGTGGAACTCCCATGCACTGGGTGGCTGCTCCATCTTGAGCGCCTCGAGGGTGCCGCGTTGGCGAACGGCGAACCCTCCTTTGCCCATAACCGCGACGGCGTTGTTCTCTTGATCCTCGTCCTCCTGATCGGCCGTTGAGTTTTCGACGAGGTAGACGGGAGCGAACGCGCCGGCACCGAGTTCCTTGCGAATGGTGTATGTCGTGGGCGTGTCAGGGAACTCCACTTCGACGACGGAGAAAGCGTTGCTCGTCCTCTCGCCACTACTCCTGGCCTTGGCCATGAGCTTGGCTACTTTGCGAATTTCGGATCCCTTTCCGTGCTTCTCTGCCTGGTGGTCGAAGAATCCGGCATAAGAGCTCAGTGGCGGGTGCATCTTGGCTAGAATTTCATTCCGCACCACGTCATCCACCGGGTTGCATTGAGGATCTGTGATGATGGGCCCTTTGGGAGGTATCGTCTTCGCGCCGAGAGGCTTGGGCTTGGGCTTCTCCAGTATCGGCTGAGGCACCCTCGCGGGCTGCGCATCGTTATAAATCTCCCGCAGGGGGCTACTGAACAGCTGATCCGCACGGACACCATCATCATCGTCCGACTCCTCGTTGTCGTCCTTCTTGGTGGGTGACATTTGCGGCCTACGAGCTGTCAGGACACCAAGCGAGGATTCCGTCCTCTCTGTGATGGGCGTCATGAAGGGGAGGCGGTTGTTGGCGGCTTCGACCGGGTCCCGATAAGGCCGCGTTCTGGGCTCATAATCCTCTGGCGGAATCGGGACGAAGACGGTCTGCGTCCTGGGCGGGTAGTCTTCGTCAATGGGAGTCTGCAAATCATCATCCACATCGTCGTCCTCCTCGTACAAATCGTCGGGCTCCTGCTCGTCCTCCTCTCGGGGTCCCGTCGGCTCCCGCGATGAAGGCAACGAGTCCTCGTCTTCATTGATATCAATCAAGTTGGACACCTGCGTGTCGTTTGACTCCTCAACTTCGTTGGCCTCGTTAATGTCGGGCACGTGTCTCCGAGTCGAAAAGTCAGACCATTCGCTGACGCTTTTCACATCGGATGGCTCATCGTCGTCATCCTCGCCGGCTTCACTCGTGTCGACTTGTCGCGTCGTCGTTATGGTGCTCTCTGCCCCGCTTGTGTAGTCTCCGTCTCCATCCGTCTCATAGTCGTCTTCGTCACTTTCGTCCTCATCCTCTTCCTCTTCTTCCAGGGGCTGGGTGGGCTTCAGAGGCTGGTTGAAGATTTCGTAAATGTCATCTGTTGCTGCCTTGGTATGCAGGGTCATTGTGGGCTCGGCGGTCGCATTCCTCTTCTTGAGTTTGGTCGGCTTTGACGGCGAGTCCAGGTTCGCTTTGACTGAAGCTCTTGTGTTAGTGGTCTGCAATGGTGTTTCCAAGGGTCGCACCTACTGATTTGGGTTTCGTTGAACTCCATCGTCCTCATCTTCTTGCTCTTGCCCTTCTTCTGGATGTTTCCATTCTCGTCCAAGGTCACCGTTTCCGTATACACGGTCAGCTTCTCCTTCACCATGTGGCCGAGGTTCTCGACATCATCTTCGGGCAGCGTGTCCATCATGACATCCTCCTCCCATGAATGGTCCAGCCAGCCTCTGTTCATCGCCCAGACCTCTTCAAAGCTCAACTCAGATCCCGGCAGCTCTGGCGCCGGGTAGACGGCCTCGAGGTCAACAAAAACGCGCTCACGTTTGCCGCTCACGGGATTCACCACAACCTGCTCGGTCGAGGGCACAAGGGTATGTGTTTCTGCTACTTTTGGCTTGGACTGAAAATACAATAAACGCCAAAAGGCCCATCCATTAGTCCTAATTTTCATCAACACATGGGCTTGGAGAGGGGGGGCCAGTAAGGAAAAACTCGCGAGACGTACCGTATCCTTGAAGATCTGCATCTTGGGCGCGCTGCTCTTCTTGCCGCCCGCCTTCATCGTCTCGCCCACCCACGGCTTCGCCTGCATGACGTTCTCCTTCTTCCGGTTCGCGAGCGAATCAATCGTGTCCCAGCCCTCGGAGCTGGCCGGGCGCGCCGACAGCGCCGAGGGTTCGGCAGAGGCGTCTGAGAAGATGGCCATCTTGGCCTTGCCAGGCTTGGCCGTCGGGCCGCCAACGCCTTGGCCGGGTTGTGGCGCCTGAGGGTTTTCGGCAGCAGCGGCCGCCGCTGCGGCGGCGGCGTACGGGTCGACCTTGGCAGCGAGGGCCGGTCGCATGGCGGGCAGGGCCGGTGATGAGGGCGCGGCCGTTACCTCTGGGCCCTGGGCGGCTTGCCTCTGCTCAAACTCGTTGAACTTGCGCATCAGGCGCTGCTCGGGCCGGGCGCCGCGCTCGATGCCCAGCTTATACACCTCCTCGGCCTGCGCCCAGCGGCCCGCGCTCTCGAGCCAGGCGGCATACTCTTCGTAGAACAGGGCGAGGCTCTCGCCAATGTTGTGGCGGGAGATGAAGAGGAAGGTCTCGCGCGGCGCGTCGGCGAAGAACTGGATAAAGAGGATCCACAGCTTCAGGTAGCGCGGGTCATTCTTGTACTGGGCCGATGTTATGAAGGCCTTGGTGGCGCGTTCGAGGAGAGTGTGTAGCTGAGACTGGGGCGTCGCCTGGGCAGAGGGGTAGGCGTCAAAGGTCCATCGAACGTAGCGGTCGTAGACATCGAGCGGGTCGTCTGATTCGGAGATGTTGGCGATCTCGGCTTCGTACTCGGCGCGAATGCAATCTGTGACGTTCTTGCTGCCTGTTGGTGTTGGTGTTGACAGCTTGTGGAGTGGTGACGGGGAGAAGGCCTCGGCCAGCTTCTTTGCGGAGCGGCCACTAGGGAGGGCCTGGATGTTCTCCTTTTGGGCCTCGATGATGTCGAAGTTGATGAGGTCTCCGGAGGCTGCCATGGTTAGTATCGTGTGGGCATATCCTGGTGCTGGCGGAATGGAATGGTGTTGATGCGAAATGCGAAATGCGAAATGCGAAGGATGCCAGACGCAGAGGGCAAGGCAGGGGTAGAGTTAGAAGGTGGGGTTGTTGATTTGGGAAGGGTCGTCGTGTTGATGCGGGATGACATGTGTCATGTGTTGTGGCGTGTTGATAGGGCAACGAGCCACACTGGCCTCCCCATCCCTTCAGGACGGACCAGGAACGACCTCAGGAACAACGGTACGTACTGGGCGCTCCAGATAACTAGGATGGCAGAAACCAGCTTCCGGACCAGTTATACAATATCGCTCAATCGTACCATAGTAGATGAGAATCTTTTATGTAGGCTGTTAAGATGGCTCTTTGGCTCCTTGGCTTGAAGGATTGAAGGATTGGTTGAACGCGTTCTCGGTCGTAAGGGACAAGACTATCAGCACAGATGGCATGCCGACGTCGAGATCTTGACATGATGGCGGCTGCACATAATTGGGATACTCTTGGCTGACGGCTAGCTTAATTGCTGCAGAGACTTGAACCTTGTATCGACCGGATGAGGAACCCAACTTTGGCATGCAAGAGCTAGCACACAAGGTCGAGGCTGAAGCAGTATCGCACCTCGTCGAATTCCATGTAGCAACCAAAGGAAGAATACAAACCAGGAGATTCCGCTACAGCTGTCGTAGACCAATCTGACATGCTTCATTATGGGCTGGCAGCCAGCGAGATAGCCATGCACAAATTGAAACCACGAGTGTCTGTCCTGACAAAGCACGTCTGATGGCCAGACTGAACCTTGGCCATACTCAGCCTGCTCTTTCAGACCAGAGCGGATGTGTTCACGATTATCACTGAGTCAGCAGAAATAGAGCTAAATCGGCATCAGTTGCACGCTGAGCATACTACAAGCTGTCGCCGTGGCTCTGCGAGCGAGGCAGCGATAACGGAGGCCGATCAAGCTAGATGTAGGCGAAAGGGGACCCGTAGATTTTACATAGAGACCACATGCCGAGAAGGGCGTGACGAAGCACTAGGCATATGCTGAACAAGATACACGCCGAGGGCACTGCAAGTCAACAGCTCATCTTCAACAGCACGTCTGTTCAACAACACAAGCCACCCTACAGCTTGGCCACGGCGCCCTCGCCCTTGCGGCTCGTCTCCACCAGCTCCCACGCAAACTCGGCCAGCGGCGCCCTCGTCTCCGAGTACTGCTTCGCCTTCTCACTGCTGGCCTGGCGCCGCGCGTACCGCGCCGCGATGCCCTGGCACACGGCCGACAGGCGGAACACGTTGAAGGCCATGCCCCAGCCGAACTCGGCGGCGGGGTCGTACCCGGACACGTCGGCGTACCAGCGCACGACCTGCGTGGCGTCGGGCAGGCCGGGCGTCGCGCCGGGGAGGAAGCCCTTGTGCGCGTTGACGCCGTCCCGTGACGCCGTGAAGAACTGCGTCGAGAGGTTGCAGAGGTCCGAGAGCGGGTGGCCGACGGTGGACATTTCCCAGCTGTTCACACGAGGGTCAGCGTTTCTCCTCTCCTGCCCCACGAAAATTAAGGTAGACTCACTCCAGGATGCCAATCACCCGCGGTTCCGTCTTGTGAAAGACGATATTGTCAATCTTGTAGTCGCCGTGAATCAGCGTGCCCCGATCGCGCGGCTGCCGCCTCGCGTCCTTGAAGAAGTCAATCATGTCCCTGAAATGCGGCAGGTCGCCGACGGGCTCGTTGGTCTCGACGTCGACGGCGCCGGCCTGGCTCGCGCAAATGGTGCTCCACGTCTGGATCTGGCGGTCGTAGAAGCCCGTGGCGCGGCCAAAGGACGCGAGCCCGACGTCGGCGGGCCGCACGCGGTGCAGGCGCGCCAGCGTGTCGACGGCGGCGTGCCACAGGGCCTGGCGCTCGTCGGCGCCGAGGCCCGGCATGGCGGCGTCCTCGAGGATGCGGCCGTCGAGGAACTCCATGATGTAAAAGGGCGTGCCGATGACCGTGTCGTCCTCGCAGAGGCAGTAGGCGCGCGGCACGGGCACGTCCGTCGTCTCGAGCGCGTGGATGATGCGGTACTCGCGCTCCACCTTATGGGCGGCTTTGGAGAGGAGCTTGCCCGGTGGCTTCTTGCGGAGGACGTAGCGCTGGCCGTCGGCGGCCGTGAGTTGGTAGGTGGGATTCGACTGGCCGAAGCCGAACTGCTGTGTGTTAGAAAGGTGTTGCGCAGAAAGACTCGCTCTAGGGCGACAGGAACGAAGAAAAGCTTGGGTGAGGGAGGAGGCTGTACATACCTGCTTCAGGTCGACGGGCACCTTGATCTCGGGCACATTCTGTTCAATGTACCGCTCCAACGACTTTTGGTCGATGGGCTGGCGCACACGTCCTGCCATGGTCGGCTCGGTTCTCGTGTCGACGTCGACGACGATACTGATGCAGGTTGCAGGAGGAGGAGGATCGCTGACGATGCTGACGGGGAGATGCTGAACTTGGATAGGTATGCCCTGGAAGATGGCTCTGGGCGATTCGAGAGCTACTGGGTAGAGAAGGCAAGAACAGAAAGAGAAAACCAACCCCAATTGACCTCTCCAATCAGGAGCAAAACCAGGACGTTGGGTTTACATACCGAGCGGTCCCCCGGGTCTGGCTGGTTCTGGGGGTCGGGGTCATTGAGGGTCGCGCGGGGGATGGAGGGCATTCGGCGTGAACCTGGGCGTGCCGAGGTCCCCGCCACACTACCAATCGGTGGGTCGGATTTCGATAGCCGCACCCGCAGCCGGCCCCTCTCTGCATCTGCCTCTCTCTGGTCGTCAATCCTCGGTTTACACCTACTCCTACCTACTTTGGTTGTAGTGAGTGTGGACCAGCACTTGGGCTGTAGCACTCAGACTGTCATGTATGCAACCCATCGAAAACACGACCATGTGGTCGCTGAACTCCGAACAGGAATAGACAGCCTCGGAGCCGAACTTCTTGCTAGGTTCATGAGCAATTTGGAGACGAGGAGGACGGCAGCGGGCAGTCGTGGGGTAAAATCACAGCCAATGGCGAACCATACACATCAGTGCAATGTTGTTCTCATAGCTAACTACAATAAGTACTGCCCAGCGTTGGGTGCCGGACCTCTGTCTATCTCCAACAAATCAAATTCGCGCCCCAGACGCACGCTCGTACTGTTGCCCATTTTGTTTTTTGGTGCTTTTCTGTTGCTTGTCGTCTGGCCTTGTCTCACCTCGAACAGTTGACTGCGCTCGATGGCGGGTACATGGCCAGACTCGAAGTGGCCTTGGTGGCCAGACCACAGGCTCCCTCTCGGCCGGCCATCGCTAAGCAGCCGCCGCCTCCCGTTCCCCCAAATGTACTCGACAAGAAGTGAAGGTGGGCCAGAAGCTCCAACGCGCACACGCACACACACACACACACAAGGTGAAGTAGACGAGGAGGGAAATACGAAAAGGATAAAGAAAAAAAAAATCGAAAAAGGGGGAGGTAAACGGTCAAACAACAAGGGGGGTATCCGTCATTTCGCGTCGTCGTCCATGCATTCTTTCCATCCCTGCCCTTCCCTTGCCTTCCCCGTCCTGTGTCCCACGTCCAGCCTTCAAACGACGGCCGGTGCGATGCTGTTGCCAGTCGACTAGTTGTATTAAAGAGAAAAAGAAGGAGAAAATCAAACTTGGGTCCAAGCCACATCCGAACAGACGGAAGAAACGAGATCCCAGACGCGTCCTTCGAGGCGTCTTACCATGCGCGTGCTCATGCACTCGACTGCGCAGCGAGACACATACCAAGGCGCATCCGCGCCGGGAAAAGACCGTGTCTGCCCAGGCGCCCGCCACGATATAAAGCAAGGTGCAGGCGAAGGAGGAGAGAATTTGTCGCTCAACGTTCCTGGCCGCCGTCGTCATGTCGTAATTGCTGACAAAGAAGATTGAAAAGAAGTATTGCGCTGGCTGACAACTATGTTCAGCTCTCGTCGTCCTCCTCTTCCTCTTCTTCCGGACTGTCAGCCTGTGCCTTGACTTTTTTGTTGGCGCCGGCATCGGCGGCCTCTGACTTGCGCTTCGTACCAGCTTTGGCAGGCTCTTCCTTGACCGGTGCATCGCCAGTGGGGGCACCACCACCGCCAGCCTTGTTGCGTTCGATCTCGGCGACTTCATCGGCGGTCAAGAAACGACCACCGGGACCGCGAGGCCTGCGCATGGCATGGTTGTGTCTCGACTCGTGGAGGTACGGCTTGCGTCCTTTCGACGTCAGCCTGAGCTGCTCTTCGAGCTTCTGTCGCGCAACGCGTCTCTTGAGGATGCGGTGGAACTGCTTTGCGTTGACGTAGAGCGGTGACTCCTCAACACCACCAGCGGCGAGCTCGGGGGACTGAGGATGCGCCATGGCGGACGCTGGAGGCAATTGCGGAGCGGCGACTCCAGGGCGTCCGACGTGTCCCATCATGTTTTGCGCCTGGTTAGGCATGCCGGGACTTGTGACTTGGCTGAGACGCCGTTGGCCGGCGAGGTTGTTCATCTGGGGTGACCTAGGCCCGCGAAGATCCTTCTTTTGGCCACCCATCCTCGGCGAGGTTTGGGGCATGTTTGGGTCGGAGGACATGTAGGGATAATTAGACTGTCCCGATGCGGCGGCTGTCGCAGCCATAGCTGCGGCCTGGATGCCAGGCATCGCATAGTGCGGAACGTTGTATTGTGTCTGGAACATGGCGGGGTTCTGGCCCTGGGCGGACTGCTGCTGCTGCGTGGAGAGTATGGGGGAGGTCTGAACACCATGAGGGTGGATGTTGTGGTTTGTCGGCGAGGTAATGTTGTTGCCGGCTGCCGGATTAGGGTACCCCGGCTGAACGTGTCCCTGCTGATGCGCGTTCTGTGGCTGCTGTGGGTATTGGGCGTACTCCATCATAGTGGACGTGCCCTCGAGAGCGGTTGTCTGAAGAATACGCGATGGAGGCGCAATGTTGATACCGAATGGTTCAGTGCTGGTAGGCTGGTCGCGATGTGGTTGCGGCACCAATGGGAAGTCGATGTGGGGTTGTTTCGGGGTCGCGAGACTGGAGTGCAAGATTGGGGGTGGGTGATGAAGGGCAAATGGCGAATGAATTGACGGCAGAGGGCGAAGGACCCTGTTTAGGAGGAAAAGTCTTTATACTATTGGGTGTGCGTGTCGCAGGTCTCCGTCGTCACTTGGGGGGGGAAGAGATTCCCTTGGGTCGCGGTGAGCCTGGCGTGTCAGGATGGTGAGGCAGGTTGGGCGGTGCGGTGGGCAATCTATTGGATGTGCGCTTGATGTGTTGGCAGGCGTGGATCTGTTAAGAGGGTGCGGCGCAGAAAGCCGGGTACGGCATATGCGGGCTGATGGGGTGGGTAGTGCGAAGTGGCAGCCGCGCGCGGGGACTGTCAGGTTGCGGTGGTGGTGGTGAGTGGCTGAGCTGGTTGACAGTTGCGACGACTGGTTTTACGATTACCACGTGAAGGAGGACAGCTTGACGAGGCTCAAGGAGGAGTGATTGCACGCTGGGGCAGACAGGTTTGGCAGCTCTGGCAGGCTGTAACCGAACGAAGCGGAGCCGGCGGGAACGATGGGGATCGTGGGGATGTTTTCCAACGACGGACTGTCGACGGATAGGTTCTGCTGGGCTTTCGTGGCGGGGCAGATCCACGGTCCGGACAAAGGCGGTTAGTTTGCTGAGAAGGCGGTTCCTCAGGATCTGCAACCATAAGCATTAGTACCAAGTAGCTTTGTTGACGATGACAGAGCGAGTCTCTGGGGGGAGGGGGGTATGATGCAACGAGGCGAGGCGAGGCGAGGCAGAAGGGACCAAATGGGGAATGGAAAGGATTGGGCGACGAGGGAGGGAAGAGACAGAGAGCGAGAGCGGCGTGGTGCGCGACGTCCCATGTTGCGGTACGGTACGGTGCGGCACGGGCTGGCCTCGGTCGGCGCGAGGGGGAAAAAGCTATGCGCTGGCAAGGCCTGGCATGGCGTGCATGACGAGGTGTGCAGCTTGACACCCGACCGACTAGGTGGAGGGAGGTGGCATGTCGCATGTCGCAGCGCGCAGCTTGCTCGGGGGATGGGACCGATGAGGTCAGAAGGGAGGGATAGTGGCGGATGGGAGCCTGACCGTGCTAGCAGCTAGCAGCGCTGGCTATGCTCTGCTTTGCTCTGTTCTGTTCTGGTCTGCTTCAGCAGCCCTGTTGTTGCTCTGGCCAGGGAGGCGTGATGTGATGTCAGGGTTGGGCTGCAACTGTGCAACTGAGCTGAGAGCAGGCGACTCGGGGCTACCAAAATCGGGCTTGGACCCGGCACCCTCTGCAGATTGAATACTACAAGAAGGGCAGGGGCAGATTGGGGGTGGGAATGCTGGCCAGCAAGAAGTCCTGCGAATGGTGATGGTCGAGCAAAAGCGCATCGATTGGGGTATTTTTGGAGATATTTACAACGCGTCGGCTGGGGGCGCAGGAAGACGCCGGTGGGATATTCGCGTAATGGGGAAAGGCGGGAAGGCAGAAAGTGGCGGGGAGGGGCCAGGAGCAAAATAGTGAGACGTGAATAGAGAGCGTGTGTGTATGCATGTATGCGCGCAATGGCAATGGCAAGGGAAGAGGGGGGGGTAGTGAGGCAGATAGAAACCGAGTCGCGTCAAGACACGCGGTACACGGTCAGAAGTGGGTTGGCAGCAAAGAGCCAGGCTGCGTGAGGGGGGGGAGGAAACAATAGAAAGAGCGAACTGGCGCGAGGAAGGAAGAGACGCGATTCGTACCTTTGCTGCTGTTGCTTCTGTTGCTGCGAATTGTCGGCTGATAACGTGCGCAACAAAGGTTGGCCGGCGGGCTGGCTGTTGTCTGGTCTCGCTCTCTTGTATTTGGAGAGGGATAGAGAGGGGTGAGGCTGCAGCGCGACTGGATGCGATGCGCCGGTGGTGTCGCAGTGCGGTACAAGTGCGAGTGCGGTGCGCGCGTTGCGATGATTCGAAGTCGAGAGTGGGCGTTTGCTCTGACGTTCAGGGCTCTCTGTCTCTATCTTTCTCTTGTCGGTCGGGTCGAACCAAACACAGACAAAGGTCGAGGGAAAGGGTAAGGTGCTGTTGGTGTCGTGCTGGGGCCACCAATGATGAGGTTCAAATGGTGAAGCGAGAACGTGAGTACAGCGAATTGCTGCGCTTTGCTTCGCTGGATGACTTCTTCGTCGATGGTTGGCCAATAAGTATGGGTGAGAGAAGGAGGAGAAGGTGATTTGACCAAAGCTGGCGGGGGCCTTGGAAGAAGTTTGTGGGAGCCGGAGCCAGAGAAAGAGCCTGAAGCCTGCCTGCCTGTCTCTTGCCCTGTGCGCCAATGGGCCAGTGCACCATGACGCTGACTCCACTATGGCTCCATTATGGATCCATATTTCGTCTCCACTCCTCCCAGCCACCACTCGTCGCTTCCCTCACTCATTCAGTCAGTCCCTTTCTCCTCTCTGCCCCCCCCCCCACGCGTGCCGGCGCCCTCTGCTCCCTCCCCCCCCCCGGTGCACTCACTCGTTTGCCCGCCAGTCGTCGGAGCTTCTTGTCTGTCGTACCCAATGACCAGCCATCATCACCAGCCAGCCAGCCCAACGAAGCCAGCTCGAGCGTAACCGCAGGGCTGAAGTCGTGTTACCGGCTCGACTGGTGGTACCCTACTGCCTGCCCATGACTAGGTGTTGCTTGCTCTCTTACTTCGCCATCTCTAGTCTGTTTTCTCTCTCATCCTCTCGCGTTCTCTCGGCTCCCAAAATATCCCTCCTTCGGGCTGGCTGGCTATTTCCAGTCTTGACCGACAATCACGCCAAATGGACAAGAGTATCAGGCACCAAGCAACTGCGCAACCAGATCAGACGCTCGACAGACGACGCAAACCAGGCTAGCCCGCATTCCGACCTGTCGCCCATTCGCCTCCGCCGAGGCGGTGTCTCCCTCTTGCTGCTTGCTCCGAGTCACCGACTGCCAACTCGGGCCCGCCTTACGTCTCGACCTGCCTCTGCGTCCCACTCCCCAAAGGGCGGTGTGCTCATCCCAAACCGTCTGTTCGTGCCTACAGCAGACACAGAGCTCCGACGTGCAGCTGTGTATTGGTCAAGGCCGCCCGACCTAGCCTGCCTGCCTGCCTGCCTATCTACCTGTGACGCGTTGCTCGACTCCCAGCCTGACTGACGACTCCCCCTCCAAGCCTGAAATAAGAAACCCCAAAAGTAAGATCCTTTGCTGCTTTGGTTTCTGTGCCTCCGTCCGAAGCACGGTAAGCCGAGAGCTGCGGCAAAATCTTACGTCAGGTGCGGAGCTCCCTCTTCCTACCTGTACCGCCAGACCCTGCGCCAGGGTCTCGAGGGCAGCGCTCACGTGTTTGGTCCTGGCACGCCCGGTTTCGGGCTTCCTGATCGACTTCTGGCGCATTATTCACAGCGCGTCATGTTCAGCCAGCCCATCCGAAGTCATCTCACGTCCGCGGACTCGGGCCCAGCTTCCGGACCTTGGCCATTCTTCCGTCGTTTCGAGTGTGTGTGTCTCTCTCTATCTCTCTCTCGTTATTGTTGTTGTTGTTGCTTTTGCTGTTTCCCGCCACCCCGTTCGTGTCGCTCGCTTCTTGCCGGGCCAGCGCCCCAAACTCTCGAGTGCGGCTCGATTTCAACCCTTCGTTTCTAAGGCTGGCTCAATGCTTGCTTGCTTGGGTGTCTGATTCGAAGGTCCGGGGTAGGTCCACAATATCGTCGTATCCCACATCACGCCCCCGGGGGCTGGTTCGCTTGCCAATTCAGCCCTCTGCCAGCTTCTGGTTTGCTAGAACTCTCCGAACAGACGAGCAAATGAACGTTGAGCGCCGGCCAATTGCCATTCCCTATTTGCGTGCTCCCGAGCACCGGCATTGGGGCGCGCGCGCCTGGGCCACACGATTGCTTCCCGTGAGCCATTCGTCCCCCTAAGGTGCCTTTAACGCAACGCCCATGTGGGAAGGGGGGGAGGCTCTGTAGCTTATTATCCCGGTTCCTGGCGCGTAGGAGGAAGGGGGCCCGTTGTCTGGCCTATGACGGCTGGTTTCGCAACGTGATGTCTCGGGAAGCTCGTGTCAAATCACGATGCCTTGCCCCTCTGCGGCGGCATGAAAAGCCAAGTAGAGTGCTGTCAAACTTGGGATTGGCGGCTCCATGAGGCTTGGTTTGACAGCTGACCGATTTAACGTCTGAACCTATCAGCAGACATGATCGTTTTCGGCTGGCGCCGACTTAGATTGGTGATGAGCATGGTTGATGTATGTGATGAGAACTTTCAGTCTCTGGGTCTCCTTCCTGCCATCTTGGTCTTCGGCCATCATCTGGATTGTGCTTGCCGCTGAGCCAGCGTCTGGCGCATCAAGCAACACGACAAGTGACCATGAGCCTGTTTGTGTCCTGTTTCCGACGCTTGGCCTCGGGAGTGCGATGCCGGGCATTCCGAGGTCCGTTCACGTTGGATATCTTACTTTTGCTAGTCCCCCATTTTCCCTTCGGGGAGAAGGGCGGATCACAGCCGTGGCGTCGTGTCGAATTCGGTCCGTTCGTCCTTGCTTTGTCCTTTTTTCTTCGACAGCATGAAGCGTTTGCGGTAAATGAGGTCGGTTCATGGTGAAGCCGTGCCGAGGATGGATGATCTGCTCGTGACTCGGCTTGTTTGGCTTTGACGTGGGTGAGCTGCGCCTGCGAATCACCTTCCAAGGCCGCGAAGATTCCACGGAGGCGAAGAGGCAGAATACAGCACTTGATATTCGAGTCTTGTGGTTTTGGTACATGAATTTGCCAAAGCAAGGCTATGCACGCCTATACAGGGCCCAGTATCTCCTGGTAGATGGTCTTCGGGTGGTTCGAATCAGATGTATTCCTGTGTGTTCCAAGGTTCTGGAAAGTGG